ATGAGGATAATATCAGCAGCTAATATGCCACCCATTGAATGTCCCACCAAGACGACATCCGTAGTAGGAGACTCGTGGGGAGTCAGCCATTCACTAAAGTTGTCTCGAGCAACGTCGACGGCACGATACGTCTTGTACCGCGGATAGATCTTGGAGTGGATGACATGTGAGTCGGCGAGGAGGTTGGTCAAGAGAGCATGTACATGAGCCGGGAATGAACGGAAGGACTGATCATTTCCCAGGAAGCCATGAAGGTAAATGATGAGCAGTTTGCGCCGACCCAGATGATCTCCAGCGGGTGTTTGTGGGGTTTTCTGCAGCGAGGTTTCTGAGGGGTACACAGGGAGGAGGGACTGCGTAGAGGATGAGCGGGGATCAGGAGCTAGCCACGCGCCTCCGGCCTGGAGACGGGACGGATACGGCCCGGGCGGACTCGGGGACGGTTTGTATGCCGCCGGGCCCGGAGAGTACGGAGGTTGTTGGACGGAATACGGCGGAGGAGGCGGCGGGGGAGAAGAGGGGTCGGCCATGATGGATGGATGGGATGGCCTCGACGGGGATGTGCGGGGGGTGGGAGGAATGAGGAAAGGAAGAGTTTAGGAGCAGGGCCTCGGGCGCTAACAAAGTCACTTTTTTCCCTTCTGTCTCTCACCGACCCATTCTTTTGCAGAATGGATGTGTTGGCGTAAGGTCGGGTGAGGTGACGATGGTGAGGGAGCCAAAGGACGTACGTGGGGTAGAGATGGATGCAGTAGATAGATGGTGATGGATCCCTGGACCCTGGCGCTGGGCGTGATACAAGGCAAGGCATACGACGACGTCACAGGTTCGACACTTGCTGGCGCGACGTTTGACCTGGATCGTGGATTTACAAAACAGGTCGAGGAGTAACAAATGTCGAGGCTGGACTTGCAGGGTCTCTCAACAAGCTGGACCTACAACAAATGCTGTAGATGGATGGTGGGCGGAGGTTACGTAGGCGCTCCACCAAGGCCTGTCTGTGTGTGCCTGAAAGTGGCTTGACCCTGGCTGTGAGTTGTTTTGCCCATCCCATCTTTACATGTTTCCAAACAAGAGGCGATTTTTCTACCTGTGCCTGACGAGATGCTTGGGTGTCAGGTTGGTAACCTGCAACGCAACCCCATCAACAACGCGACATGTCCCGGTTGGTTAATGTCTAGAAGTGTGCTGTCAATGCTTTATCTGTCTTGCGTGTCGGCCGCTTGGTGGAGGAAGTAATGGATATTCGCCTCTTGCTGGGTCAACATCCGTGGCCCATCACATCAGCAGGTGGCCAACAGAGAGACACGCACTCTAGACAATTTTTTTTTCTTCTCTAGAGGCGGGACCCGTGAGTGATTTAATACCCGTTCGTATTGCTGGCGGGCGACTGCATGTACGGATGTCGACAATACGCAAGCAATTAACAAAAACCTCGTATTCGAGGGGTGGATGGCCTCTGACTGACTCAAAGCTGCTCCCTCACCGTTTTATTCACATGATGAAAATGTTGACCGACTGGAAAAAAGACGTGCATCTTGCATGCAGGTACAAGGAACAGACGACAAAGACTCTGTAAATACTTCATCTCGATCATCAAGTGACCCAAATAGATTCAATAGGCCAAACTTGGAATAGGAGAAGACGGAAACATCCCGGCCATGGTTCGTCAGGAGCTAAAATGAATTCCTCCGTAGAGTGCAAATCCTGATGCCATGACCACGTTCTAATCTGAGCCTGCCCACGAGATGGGAATACCCAGTAGATCCTGCAAGGGACGGAATGTGGGAATGCGTGGCCTGCCCATGTGTTACTGTACGATGCAGACGCCGTGTGTGCCCCCCCCTGATTCACGGATTGTGATTCGATCCAACTCTTCCAAGACCAGGTGACGACGACTTCCACTCTTGTTCTGGTATGCGCGCCCCAAAGTCAGGGGAATAATTCTCCAAAGGGCCCCGCTCGTCACAGGGGACTCATCACGGGCCAGGTCATCATCGCCGCGGCCCCATTAAGACACAAGGGGATTATTTTTGGAATCTCTTGGCACCGGTGTTTCGGAAGCTGTAATTGGCTTTGCGGGAAGTACAAGAGACAGAGAGACAAAGGGAGAGACACAAAAGAGAGGCTCCGAAGTGACTGGGGACTGAGTAAGAAACATTTCAGTGTCTGACGGGTGTGCGTCCTTCTGTGAGAGGGCATCTGATTCAGTCTTGCTGATCCTTGTAAACCTGGCATTCCTTACCACGGATGGACATTTTCAGATTAATGAGCTGCACGATGAGGGCGATCATGCTGAGATAGATGAGAGAGCATTTACTCTGTTGATGCCAGAGACAACCATCCCATCTACGGAGCATCCATTGTAGACTTCCTGTCATGCATCTTCAACAACGACTTGCATACTCCAACCAAAAGAGTCTCTCACTTCCATCACGAGCCCTGATTCGCCCCGGCTACGGGAACACACGCGTTCAACCCCCGGTCTAATTTCCCCCCCTCTCGACGCGTTGCTTCTGCCCACCACCGACCGGATGGGCCATTCCAGCTCTAAAGGCAGGGATGAGATGCCACCCACCGTTTTCTCCTACCCGCATCCATCCCCTGTCGACAGAAAAAAAAAGATGCAAGAGAAGGCGCATATAGAAAAGAATAAAGGACGGGGATCATGGGTGTTGTTTTGAGGAGCGTTGAGAGAACGGCGTAAACTACCAAAGTGGGAGACTCCTTTTTTCTGATGAGACAAGTCTGGCTCTGAGCACTGAGCCCAAGTTCGCATTGGGATTCTAAAAAGCAAAGTATTAAGGCCAAGGCCAAGCCGAATGGCCTGTTTCGTAGTGTCCTCGAGACCCTAATGGCAGTTGTGGCTAACGGGTGCGGGACGAGGCTATCGAAAGCCTCTTTTTGTTGGTGTCCGTCTGTCTGTGTCTAAATGTAAAAGCCCCAACTTTGCTTTGCTTCTGCCAAGCAATTGGATGTCAGCAGTCACTCTCGTCTGCAAACCTCGTCTAAGACATCATCAATGTGCTATACGTAGTATTCTCCGTGTACGCGCCGCAGTTGAGAGGTCCATTATAGTCTGATGGCCATGCCAGCTACAGGAGGACACCTGGGTCTCGGCCAAGCGATGAGGCCCTGGCCGATGGGACCCAAACAACCTACTCCATACCAAGAATACCTCGAAGCGCAGGTTGGATCTCTTTGCTCTCTTGTGCCCCCGGCTTGTGTTTCTCGTCGTATTCCGTTGTTGGTACCTGGCTAGTGGTCTCCCCCATGTCGTGATGTCGTGCGGCTACCCCATGCTGATTGGTCGTCTCTCCCCTAAGAGCCACCACCTTCATCTCAAGCGAGATTATATCCCATCTCGCGGCTTCTTGTCCCATGGCCGTTAGCCCATCCCACAACCGCTCATCGTCCACAGCATCCCGGCACGATCACTGGCCCGTTGTTATTGCTCAGGGAAAAAAACAAGAAGCAAGAAAGAAGCACAGGAACTGGTGCACAGGCTCAGGAACATTACCTAGCCAAGACGGTCCATCCCCAGGCTTGACCAGGGCCCCTAGCATGCATTGGATCCAATCCAATCCCAACCGCACCAGGCGCAACAACCTTGACGAACAGACTGGAACCCACGGACGGTCGAGGTCGGGTGGTGGTGGTCACCATTGGTATTGGATCCAGGCCTGGAGATGACCAGCCCGAAAGGTCGTGCTGTGCTCCCCTCGTCTCTCTCACTCTGTCACTCGCCATTTTAGTATACTCTTTCGCCCACCTTTGAGTGTTCCTCTCTTTTCCCTTTCTTGTTCTGTTCGGGCTCTCCTCTTGTTTTCTGTCTGTCACCATTCCCGACCCCATCCTCTCCTTTTACCCTTTCGATTCTCTAGTCGCTCTCTTTTCTTTACTCGGCCATCCAAATTGACGCCCTCCGCTCATTTCGTACTTCATCCTTGAGACGACTCTGCCAAACGAGAAACGACGACCTTGACGACGAACCAACCAGCGCTCCTTTTGTTGTTGCTTTGTCGCCATGCCATCGTCGAGACTGGGGAACTGTTATTAAATGCAAGGAAACCAACGCCAAAAGAAGGATTCAGAAAGAGGACCGCAGCAGCGCAGGACCAACGTGTGAGAAGCACGCGCGCAAGAAAAAAGGCTGGAGCAAGCAAACACCACGCAACACAAGGAACAGCTATCAACCGATAACCCTGTCCGCTCCCACCGATTCCGAGGCCCCAGCCGCAAATCACGACCAACGCATTTCGTGCCTCTCATTTCTTGTCGATTGAAACGACCTGGATTTTCTCGAGGGTTCTGAACAAAGAAAAAAAAAGAGGGACCATCACAAAGGATACACACAGACTGGAAGTGCAAGGGGCGAAATATCTCCTAGCATCCCAGATCCCGTCCTTTGACTGTCTGTCTCCCCGCCCGTCGACATCCATCCGTCTTTGTGCGTAAAGATTGCTCAGTGCTTGTGTGATTTTGGGCGTCTTTTTCTGGGACAAGACAGGCTGTGGATGATCATGACCATGTGCTTGTCGATGCTACAACTGGCTTTTGACTTTTCTGCACTCGTCTCTTCCACCACCAATTCCAATTCCAGCACCTAAAGCCCTGAGGGCTACAGTTTACAGTAGGACCCTCCACTCGACTCAATTCGTCGACCACCAAACCCGACCCAACCTCAAGGGGAAATCCCTCCAAGGGAACCAACCAACTAGCGAATACGATCGCCGCGCCGCGTTCCCCATCGGTCGGTCCAGTGCCAATCCATAACCACTACTTTTTTTTTTACGGGCTGCCGACCTGCCCAGTTGTTATTTTAGGTACCCGCTTCGAAACCGTCGGTGCACGTCCCTGCGTTGCGTCGTCGGACGGGTACGCAATCCAGTACCAACTAGTCTTGGTCTTGGGTGTCTGTCTACTTCTGAGGAATCGGCATCGCCACGCTTCCCCCAGCTCCTCCAGCGGGCCACGCCCACGGCCACGACGACCGGACCATGACTTACTCATCCAGCGGGCCTTCACTCGCTCAGGCCCTGGATATGGATGTCGATCCTTCGCCTTCGGCCTTGCCTCTGGCTTCGTCGTCTTCCTCTCCTTCGTCCTCGTCCTCGGATCTGCCCGGCCCTGCGTCTGCATCTCACCACTCTCGCTCTGCATCGCATCCTCACTACCACGCTCGTTCCAACAGCGCAAACGACCAGGACGAGAACGACGACGATAGCGACGACAGCCACTCTCATAGCCACGTCCACCGCGCTCACATCCATCTGCACCATCTCAGGGATACCACCGTTGACGCAAACGACCACGATCAGCTCCACAACGACGGCCACCATTCCCATCACTCACACCATCGCCTGCACCGGCGCAAGACACCACCCAACCTCGACCTCCACGTTCCCCAGGACGGCAGCGCCCCCGCCAATGACCTAAAACCTCGCGCTGAGGATAACCTCGTCACCCAAGTTGTCCAGACTGTGTCCCTCGTTCAGGTTGTCGACTCTGTCGGCTCTCCCATCGAGCTCCAAACCCATATTGGCGCTCCAGCTACCGTCGTCGTGGATTCCGCCTCGGGCGTCACCGTCGCCATTTCTAACCCGGATCCTTCGCCGTCTGTGGCGGCAGCGGCGTCGAATCCGGCAGCGACTTACAATGTTCCGCCGCCCTCTTCCGATGCCGCCCCCGCCGTCGAGACAGATACTCCCGACATGACTGAGCCCGAGCCGTCCACGCTTCTCTCGGACGCGACCGCCTCTCAGTCATATCCTGTTCCCGATGCCGTCTCCGATACCACGCTGGCTCCCACGTCCGATGTGCAGTCCGTTACTAGCGGTCTTCCAGAGACGTCTGCTGCTCCTACGTCTTCGGAGCCGGAGACTACGAGTCAGGAGACAGCTTCGACGGAGGCTCCCTCGTCTGCCATTGACACTACCTCTGAACTCAGTGGGTCGCAGAACGCGACTACTGCTACCGCAACCACTGGTATGTCTACTCGCCCCTCCCGTTCGCTACTAAGGTTTCCAGCCGTGTGCTTACTGACATTGCCTGCAGAAGATCTCACTACGACATCAGCCAATCCTACGACGCTGACTGATATCACAACTGACCTCACTTCAGAAGCCACATCTGAAGCTACTACGGATGCATCTGCCACCGAATCATCAGATACATCCGTTTTCAAGCAGTCTTTGTCCACAACCAACACTCCGCAAACCGGGTCTTCTTCAACCATCACCATCGTCTCTTCCACATTCATCACCTCTTCGATTGAGGCCGCGACCACCGACTCCTCACAACTCAGCCTGTCAGACTCGATCTACTCGTCAATCGCCGACGAAAGCTGGACGTCTACCTGGTGGGGAGGAGAATACAGCGAAGGTGGAGATGGCGGCGGTTATGGCGGTGACAACGACGCAACGGCTCAAGCTCAACCACCCGCGGCGACAACCACGGTGGCTTCTAACGACACGGAACCTGGTACGCTTTCACCGCAGCAGAAGCAAGTGATTGGTGGTGTTGTGGGTAGTGTCGCGGGTGTGGCGTTCCTAGCGTTGCTTGTCATGTTCGCCTTCAGGTACAAGAGGAAGCACACTAGCGGCCTCCTTGGAGAGAACCAGGCCGGTACTCGAGCAATTGGCGGTCCTGGAGGCGAAAGTGGTGGAGCCATGGCAGAGCGCGCTGGAGGATTCTCCGTTGCTGCTGCTCTTGCAGGCTTGACCGGCAAGAAGCAAGCGGCTCCTGAACCTGAACCGACCGGCGAGCGAGGATTCTACCGAGTATCGGGCAAGAAATTGCCCTCGGTCCTTCAAGTCGGCGGTGATGGATACTCAGACCCCCGGACGAATCGTGAGAGCGTCATGAGCGGCCACTCTGACTACTGGAGAGGCTCCATGGCGTTTGATCCCGGCGACCGAGACTCGAATCGACTCGCCCTTGGATCACCGATGCGTCCTGTCAGCGGCGTACCTGTTATTCGAACGGGTCCGGCGCGGACGCCGATCACGGAATCAAATCCATTCACCGATCCGCCGCCAGCACGGCCCCGGCCCGACTCGGACGCCCTCGGCGGATCGGTGGGTGGTGGATCCCAAGACGGATCTGTCGGTTCACCACCGTCCCGATTCCGTGAGAGGATCTGACGATGAGACCCTCGTCGTTCCATTCCTGCGATTTTTGTTTCTCGATACCTACCTGAGCGTTCTGTACATTGTTGTTGCATCATGAACAATGTTGAGATACTCCCTTAGTACAGCGACTGCTACTGCTACTGCTATTGCTCTCTCACCAACCATCTACGGCCACCTCTCGAGGTGATTGCTATTCCTTTTTTTTCCCTTTTTGTTGTCACATCTTGACATACTTGGGTGGCGCAAGAAGCATTCTGTTTGGCGTTTGAATGTGGTTATACATCATCATCTGGGATCTCTTTGGTACTACAAGCCTGAAGAGAAGGACATGGAAACATAGAAGACGGGAGTCGAAAGACTAAAAGAGGAGGAATTTTTCTACTGTTGTTGCAACTGCAAAAAAGGAGGAAGCTGAAAAGCACTGGGGGCGCATATTGTGTGCCACAAAAAGCATACCCTGAGACGGGCTTGACGGTCCAAGTTTCTTCTTCTTGACTCTCCTTGAAGAACATTTACTAGACAAATACCTTTTTTTTTTTTTTCTTCTCTTCCCTCATGACCTCTAGAGGTGGCGGAGATGGATAGTTTGGGCGGGCATCAAGCTGGAAGCGGAGCGGAGCGGTGCGGTGGAAGAGAGGTCTAGTGTATATATAATACAAGCTTGCCCCCCATTGTTTTTGAACAAGATACCCAGGCCTGCTGGGCTTTGCGGAGGAGCATTTATGGGAGTAGCTATTGACGTGCTCAATGGCAGAAATACAGGAATAGAGTAGATATATATATCAACTTGGGTCTTTGACGCATATTCGTGGCTTATATCTGCGTGAACAAGATAATGAAAAGGGGCTGAAGATGCTCTTTGGCGTCTCCCAAGACGTTGGCTATCACATACCAAAAATAACAGGTACTGATGGAGGTCTGCGAGGAAGTATCATCGGAACATGCTGTATGTCAAATGGTCAAGCTGCCAGTGGTGAGCCAACTTGTGCTTCCTGTGAAGAACAGAAATAGAATAGGATTTGTTCCTTCCCGTCAACGGACGGAGTGCGGACGAATGGACCTGGCCCTAAATCCTGACGGGCCTAGCGGATAATCACCGTCTGATATAAGTCATGTTTAGAAATACCCTTTATGACAGCGGATGAGTCGTCGTCCGGTTTACTAAGAGCTAACCGGAGACAAAGAGGCTGATTGAGTCTGGACTACTGCCACGTGGGCCAGGACCATTTCTGATCAAATGTCTCATAACGATCCTGTCCGATATAACGAAAGCGCATAACGTTAGGGCTACGGCAACGTCAGCCGCGTGTAAACTGGGTTACACTCGACTAGACGTTCCCTTCCCATACGTGTCACAGCGAGAGGGACTGGGGGTTGCATGACATCAAACGCAACCCGAAGCGGGCCTGAAACAGGACCCCTAAAGAGACCTCAAGGCAGCCATGAGTAATGAAGCTATACCAATTGAACCGGGACGCGAAGATAATGGATGTGGGTTTCGTTGAAAGAAGTGGATTCGAAAATGCACAGCCCCCCTCTCTCCCCGGATGCCGAAGATGTTTGATCATGCGATGTTAGTTGGGACTGGGGGTTATGTTCACGTATTCGGGGTTTTGGTTTTGGAAGCCTTCGGATGACGGTATGTTCCGGCGACTTGAAGGAGAGAAGATGGGATGGCAGCCCTTGTTTTAAAGTTGTTTTGGAGGGGGGAGAGTTGCCTGATACAGGAGAGTTAACGTCATCGCCACTGCGAATTGATAATGTAGATATAATCTTTTTATCTTGGCAGAGATTAATGTCGTCTCTAGGCAGTCTCACCAAGGACACCGCCGGTTGCAACCCGTCTTTCAATGACCCCTGTCTTGGGTATCATCCCGGGAGTAGAGGCAACGTCCGGTGGTTAGAAGAGTCTTTTAACAGACCAGGGGTCCATTGCGAAAAGAGAGAGGCAGCCGCCTTGATGGTGAAGAACACACAAATGTTGGCGCAGTTTGAGTCCTGACAAGCTGTGGAGTCAATGGTCTCGAACCCTTCCCCATGCAACTCTGACGGACAGTCCCACCGGATATAAGGAGCATCTTAAGGTGCGGACTTTGGGGGGCAAGCATTGCAAGTCTGGGCGTTCCAGGAGGCGTTGGGAGCTATCCTGTTTGCGGAGGGAGAAATCTAGACTTTTGTCTCGTCAATCTCTAGAGAGGAGGGCTGAAGGCTGAAGCAGAGGCTGTTGGAATCCCTTGCTCGGCCATGTGCTTGCCGTCTGTCAATTCAATGCGGACTTTTCGGCATCGGGCGGGACTTGGACATGGCTGGGGGGGGTTGTTGTTGTCTCGTCTTGGAGTTGTCATGGATGACGGCGCGTACGCGGCTACGGCTGTCAGTGTCTGTATTGGATGGATGTCAAGTTGGGGTAGTATTTGTCATTGCATGTCACGTTATTCCTCTATAGAAGAAGAAAACCCAAACGTTGGAATCCGAATACGGTGTCAAAATTCATAAGCAAGCGCTCATGTAATGTACTGTACTGTAGTCCATGTAAGAAGGCTCTTTTTTGGTTCAAGTGCCGGGCCGGGGTCCAAACGGTGCGTGAGATGCGGTTGCGGGCCTGCATATTCCCATCCATGGATCGCATCGTTTAGACAAAGTAAAGAGTACATTGTCAATGTAATAGCCCTGCCAGGGCCAAGAGGTGCTCGCGATTGGGCGGGACAAAAGATAAAATGGCATCGTCGAGACGACATGCATTGGACTCTCTTTAGCCCTTTGCCTGATTTGAATAAGGACTTATTCTGCACCTGCCTTGCTTGGCTGAATCTCTTCCCTGCAACTCTTTTCGTTTCACTAGCAAAGGAAGGTGTACCTGCCGTGAGGTACCTGCTACCACTACTGCTGGCGGACATCTTTAGGTCCCCGAAGTCCCATCGAATCTCAACCTTCCAAGAATATATCTCTATTAGCAAGAAAAGCAAAATCATCAACTTCTCATCTCACCACCTTAGATCTCACTCATTGTCAGCCAGTGGAACGCCAGTCATCGTCTGCCGGCGGCCGCCTCCTTCAAGTCAATTCCAGCTGGACCGGCACCACTTTAACTGTGCAACGCTACCGCCCAGAGGGGAGGGAGGGGGGTCACACCAAAGAAGGACTCCGCCACCCCACCCACCTCCGCCTCAGTCATCGAGTTCTTATTAGTCGCCCACCTGACAAGACACACTTGAGCTGCGGACTTTGGAGAGAGACCGTGAGCTTGCCTGCTTGCTTCAGACGAAAGAGTAAAAAAAGAGGCGTCTGCCGGGCTTAGGAAGCTCTCCCCTTTAGCGCGCCGCACCCCCAGGCCGACCCTGCTTTACCTTGCCTTGTCCCGACGCCCTTTTCGACGGCGGCTCCCCCGACCTTGTCTTGCCCATCGTCATATGTAATCGATCCGTGGACTCCGATCCTGGAGCAGCGCCAAAACGGCTGAGATTCTTTAACCTCTCCACTATCTGCAGCACTTACCTACTTACCTACTACTACTCTCCCGCGTCGCTTCTCCCATGATCCGCCTTGCGACTTCACTCCCCAACAGTTAGCATTCGACGAGACGCCCACGATTATCGCCTTGCCCGGCCTCGCCGCGACGCGCGCCCTCTCTACAGAAGCGAGGGGTCCTGCCAAGCTTCAGGTCGCCTCCCACTGAATTGTCCCTCCGTTCACGAACACGAACCTTTGCATCGAATATTCCCACGCCTTTGCGCGACGAACGCATTACCCTCGAACAAGATGGATCATATGGGCTTTCAGGTGCCAGGCATGGCACCGCCTATTATGAATCAGCCACCACAGATCTTTGGCGGTTATGATGGTCTACCACAGTTGCCCCCTGAGCTCGCCGCTCAAATGTTTCCCGACTCAGCAATGCTACTCGACGACTCCAATGATCCAAAGAGGAGGAGAATTGCTAGGGTAAGAGATATCTTGGCGCAATCGTCGGTCTTGGGAAGTTGGGCGCTGATTCAGGCTCGATAGGCTTGCGACATGTGTCGGAAGAAGAAGATCAAGTGCGACGGCAAGATGCCTGCTTGCACCCATTGCATCAACTACAAGACAGAATGCGTCTTTACTCAAGTTGAGAAGAAACGCGCTCCTCCCAAAGGGTAATATCGCCTTGGTCTCTGGAATTGGCATCGAGTTGCTTATCAATCTATAGCGCCAAGTATATCGAAGGACTTGAGAACCGATTGAATCGGATGGAACACTTGCTACGGCTATCTGGTATGTCGTCTCCTAGCAGCACTCTACTTTCTCAACTCTTGGCAAACTGACATACCCCTGTAGGCCTTCTGGACGAAGAGGATGGTGATCTCGGAGCTCTGGAGAAGAAGTTGATGGAAAGAAACCAAAAGTCACGGCAAGCCTCAATGGCCACTGCATCTTCGCCCGCTTCACCATCCCAGACCGCCTCTGTTCCTTCTGCTATTGATGGAACAGGATCGACACCTCAAAGTTCACTGACCTCACCGAACCCTGCTATGAGGGAAGACAAACGCAAGTCAGTGACACCAGCTCCCGATGACGCCAACCCTGAGGATCAGGAAGAAGTCGAGGCGCTTTCCGAAATGATGTGTTCACTGGTTACCAATACGTATGGTGAGACAAGATACATCGGTACGTTAGGATTATGCTTCTGTTACACCCGGTTTAGTTGCTAATATCACGCAGGCTCTTCCTCAGGTTTCTCTATCTTCTCGCCCAAAGGAATCTCCTGGGTAAATGCCAAGACGGGTGACAACTCGTTCCAGCGAACCATCTCGGATGTGTCTGTGGATGACCATAAATGGACAAACTGGAAGCCCGAAGTCTTTGGTGATCTATTCCAACGACCTATCTTCCGGCCTCTGCCCTCGAAGCCCGAGGCGTTGTCTCTGCTCAAGGACTTCTTCGAGAACTTTAACTGCATCTTCCCCCTTTTCCACCAGCCGACCTTTATGCACCTGGTGGAACGGCAGTACTCTTCTGATCCATACAATGGATCCGGCTGGTGGGCTAGTCTCAATTGCGCGCTCGCGATTGCCCACCGCTTGCGTGTTATGAGCAATCTCGTGCCCCAGGAGGAGGATGACAAGGCATGGGGCTATCTCAAGAACGCACTGGGTGTGTTCCCCGAGTTGACCATGCGCAACACGGATCTCCTCAGTGTGCAGGCACTTCTTGGTATGGCGCTATTCATGCAGGGAACGCCCAACCCTCAGCCAACGTTCCTCTTGATCGCTGCGGCGATGCGTCTGGCGCAGAGTATCGGTCTGCACAAACGCGGAACTGGATTCAACCTCAATCCAATCGAGATTGAGCAGCGCAAGAGAGTCTTCTGGATTGCTTACATGCTCGACAAGGACCTGTGTCTCCGTGCCGGCCGTCCACCGGCACAGGACGACGATGACATGAATGTCGAGCTTCCAGATGCTGACCCCGAGGACAACATTGGCAACATTCCCCTGGCTGACGGCAAGGGCAAGATGAACCTTTTCCGCGTCATGTGCGAGTTTGCCACGATCGAGAGCGAGGTCTATAAGCGGCTGTATTCGGTGCAGGCCACAAAGCAATCTGATGGCGAGCTCCTCAATACAATTGGCGAGCTCGATCAGAAGCTGGAGGACTGGAAGGACCGTATTCCGATCGACTACCGACCCGAACATGAGATCAAGGCCTCGCATACCCCCTTGATTCTCCACGTTGTCATGGTGCACCTCACCTATTACAACTGCCTGACGACGATCCATCGTATGTCGGTTCATCACGGGTACTGGACTAGCCGCCTGTCCAACTATGCTATTCAGGGTCTCAATGCCAAACCGCTCAACCCACGTGTCTTTTCCTCAGCAGCCCTCTGTACGGCTGCGGCACGAGCATCTGTCTCGTTGCTCAAATACGTCCCACAGGGCGACTTTTCCTGTGTCTGGTAAGACTCAAGGTCTCAATCTACTTGCCAGTCCAACATGCTAACTTGGTATCAGGCTCATTCTATACTTCCCCGTTTCTGCGTTAGTAACCCTATTCGGCAATATCCTCCAGAACCCTCTCGACCCACGAGCAAAGTCAGACACTCGCCTGATGAACATGGTGGTGACGTTCCTCTCCATGCTTGGACAGGAGGCTGAGCAGGGCGGTGTCCATCGTATGCTCGGAATCTGTGCCGAGTTCGAGCGAATAGCCAAGGCTGTTATCGAAAAGGCTGAGAAGGATCAATCTTCTCGCCGGAAACGCAAGAACCAGGACACGACGAGGTCATCGCCCAATCCTACCGCCGCCACGGCCAAGGCGACACCAGTCTCGGGCTCCTCGAGCCAGACCCCTCGACAGTCCACCGGCGCGGAAGCGACTCCGCCTATGTCGGGGTCTTCTATTGGCGATAGGAGGTCATCACAGGCCCAACTATCACCGCCGCAGAATGGTGATCACAGGTCGTCATTCTCTATGAATACCCCTATGAACTACCCTTCGCCGGCAGGATCAGCTGGCTGGCCTCAGGAGTTCCCTGTGCCTCAACCTGGACAGAATGGCGACTTTGACTCGTTCATGAATGGAAATGGAAGCATGCAGTCACCGCCAGGGCCACCAGCAGGCGGGTTCCAGCAACCTCTACTCCCGCAGGATCTCTTCTCCCTGCCCATGAATTTGGACTGGAGTTGGGCAGAGATGACGACAGGTGCATACCCGACAGTTGAGAATGGCAACTTTGGCGAGGAGGGACAAGTGCCGCAGCAATAATGCGTGATTGATACCCGAGATATTGAATGTCGCCCCATGCTTATTTGAGCAATATATATCAAAAGGTCTGGTGTTGTAATCGGAAGTGAGGTAATCATAGGAGATGTTTGGGCAAATACCCCTTTGACGGGTGTAATGAGACATGCGACATGATACATATGGGATGGGTCGTTGGAGGAATAGCATTTAGTTGATTCTTTGTTTGATTTATTCTGGATAGAAACAATTGGTATATGATGGTAACAAGCTATTCGCATTAGATGTTTTCATGTGAGGTGTGATGTTCAAACCAGACATATTTCCTCGTTTGCCCCTATTCAAAGTCATAGAATCAAGCAAGACATCACAGTAACCACGACAACAAACAATACAATACACAATACGTAGACATCTGTTTTACATCACTGGTATTACACAAATAGGCAACATCGACTCGCTGTAAACCAGGCGTCGAATTGCGACTCTAGCTGGCATCTAATCCAAGAACAACAACGACGATGACAACACATAAGGCCTACCTGGCGCTATTGTCTTTTTTTTTTTCTTCCTCTCCTCCTCGACCCCTTTTTCCACCTCTCATCCACCTATTTACCCCTTGGGCAAACACTCACTATCTCCTCATTCCCTTCATAGTCGGGCGCGGGCTCCCTGGCGAGGCGCCTCCATGCAGACGAAAACCATCGTTAATAAAAAAAGAAAAAAAAAAGGTATTTCACCACCTCCCTTTTCCCCCTTTGGTTCCCCCCCTTTGCTCCGTCCGTCCCTCCGACTCCCCCTCCGTGTGTGTTAACTTCATTGAGCGTTTGGTCAAAAAACAAAAATGTGTAGTAGTAAGACTGCAGCAGAAAGAAATATCAAAAGCAGCAATGATAGCAAAAAAAAAAAAAAGGCAGTAAAAAAACAGGAATACTGAGGGAGGCCGTGTCTTTTGAGAGTGGAAAAAAAAAGCGTGATGAAAAAAAAGAAGCCTCCCTGCCGGGGAGTACCACACTCCCGTACCGTCCGGCCGGTTTCCATTTGCCTGCCCTCTTTGCAAATACAAAGAAAGAGATCCATTCTTTCATCTCCTTTGCCTAAACGCCGTGCTCGTCGGGGACGACAATGTCGTGTGTACGCCCCTACTGAATGCAAGTTGCCGAAAAAAGACGAAACGAGACCAAGCGTGAAAAAATCGACGAAGAGTTCAAAATCAAGTAACACTGATTTTTTTTGTTTTGGTTCCAAAGAGCGAGCGAGACAGGAGGCGGCCGCGTGGTGCCCAACGCGAAGTTCCCCTCTCGGGGAATACTGTAACCGCCTCGAGTCGAGTCGTATCGTAATATAGGTAAGTAGCCTGTACAAGGTGCGAAAAAGAGAGGGATGTGCAGAAAGTCAAGCGCTGTGAGACGTGACGCGACGCCAGACCAGGCCAAGCCAAGGGGGGAGGCGGCGTATGGCGTCTGTGTCATGCGTGAGAAAACAATCCCTCTGAGCCTCAAGACACCTTTCGGTGAGGTCTATTAGTGGGCTCGAGGGCGCTGCCGTATGATGGATGGCCAACTCGAGGAAAGGAGCGTGAGTTGGCGAACGCGTGAGAGGAGCGAGGGCTTCAAGCGCCAACCATGCCGGGGCCGTAGCTTTGTTGCCGCATAGCGCTCGGATACGGTGAGGCGTTGCCAGGGTTCTAAAGACAGAGTCAGATTAACACAAACAAAGAACTCGGCGCAATGAGAGAAATGTTGTCCTACCTTCTTGCGCCGCTTCTGGCTCCCTTCTCCCTCTCCTGTTGAGTATCCACCTTCCATGGCATTGTCATCATCAGGGTATCCCTCTCCGTATCCCTCGAAGCTGCTGTCGCCGTATGTTCGCTTCTTGATGTTCCGCCGCGGCCTGTTGGGATCGTTTGCCGAGGCCCCTTGAGCCTTTAGTCGTCCTACAGCGCCGGGAACGTTGAGGGGAGTGTTGGGGGCGGTAGGCCTTGCCGAAGATGGTTGCTTCAGCTCTCCGTTTGAGGACTGCAGTCCCAGGACTGATGTATCCCATACGTCCTTCTTTATCGAACCCTTGGCCATGGTGACTGCTCGTCCTAGACTCGACAGGGATGATTGTGATAGTCCGAGCGAAATCTCGCGGCCGCGGACAAATGAGTTGCTCCAGTCCTCATCGCCGAGATGCAGGATCTGGGCAAAGTCGCTCTCTTCTTGAGGATCGTTCTCGCCTCTGTTCTCAACCTTTTGCACCTTGAAGTGACCAGCGATACCTAAGCGCTTAATGTGGCCGGTGTAGGATGATCGTAGTGCATTCTTCTCTCCGTTTGGCTTCTCTCGAGCCACTTCGGCGGCGAGTCCGGTGAGGTTAAACATGTCGTACAAGTCTTCGGATATACGCGGTAGCGATTCCAGATGAGCTAAAGATGAGTGATGTTAACATACAATTCTCTGGCGGGAATCACATGGTGTCCGCGACACTCTTTCTCTCTGACGTGATCCAGAGCCGGGACGAGGAGGAGAAGGAGGAGCGGAGAGAGTGCTGTGCAGGGAGCCTTACGAGTTTGGCAAAGCAGGTATTTCTTCCCCACATCGAGATGTAGGTCCTCAATGCCCAGCTTGCTTTCCTCGACGTGGACCTTTTTCTGCTCGCGATCACCGCTGTCATCCACGGAGCGCTTCCGCTTGTGTGGAGAGTCGTCGGCCATGACGACGTCGTGATGCGAGGCGCTTCCGCTGACGCTGTGGGCGGGAGTCGGCAAGGTGGTGGCCGTGGCCGTGGCTGTCATCGAGGTGGCCACGCCTAACGCGGGCTCCGAGGTGCCGGAGGAGAATTGCGATGGACTCTGAGGCGTCTGGGGATGGAACGACATTGTGGACGGCTCCGCGAGGGAGGGTTGGTGGGCGAGAGTCGCGCCGGTCGCCGACCGAGAGTCGCTGCGTGCGATGCGAGCGCTCCGCTTCTTTCTCAGCTGAACGTCATGCACTGGTTTTTCCTCGGGGCTCGGTGAGCGTCGGCGCGCACGGGAATCTCTAGTCGCGAGTCGGCAAGATCGGGTGAGTGAGAATCGACGGCTTTGGTGGGAAAAGGGCGAATGTCGCTGCGGAGCGAGGGTTTGACGTCGTCGGGGTCGATCGTAGGTTCGTTGATGGAGGTTGATTCGGGGGCGAAACGAGGTGGTGAAGGTGTGGAGTGTGGAATGAGGGAGAGCCAAAAGTTTGAGCCTGAAAGACGAGGCAATTTCACGAGAGCAGAGGCTGCCACTGACAGACGGCCACTGTTGAGTGGGTGTGGACGTGTTAGTGTGGACCCCAGCCCCGGCCCCGGCAAAACGCAGGAGGGAGTGAATGGCAGGGCAGGCACAAACCACCAAACACCCCCCAGTTCTTGTTCCGTTCTGGGCCTTCCTTCTTCCGCCTTTCGCCTTTCCTCTGCTCTTAGTCTCTTACCCAGCAGTGACCACCCACCGGTACGTTCTTTTGCTAATCTGAGTGGCTGGTTCCGAAGAACAACCTAAGGGGCAGCCACAAATACGTACCAACTTATTCCTCCGCTGTCGCAGTCAGCCCCGCGGCGTTACCGAATCACGGAGCTTCGCTTCTTCTCGAACAAAAGAGAAAATACGTACCTTAGGTCTAAGGCAACATCCATCGGCTGCCACCACCTACCTACTCTGTGAATCTGGAGGACCCAGTGTGCCGGTGGATCCCACGTGACTTCCCCATCTGTGATAAGATGCTCCATCTCGCGCCGAATTTTCGCGTTTCTTCTTCTTCAATAACCCAAGACCACTCCCATCCCTCAACAATCGTCAGCTTGCTCGACCCTACGCTGCTGTCATGACGGGGATGTGTGGTCGAGAGCACACTTCAGTAACCTTGCCTAAAACCATCATCACGAGGGCCCCTCGTGCGGCTGCCATGATGCGGTGATGACCTGATGCAAGTGACATTTCTTCACCTTGGACTAAACCCTTTGTTCTACCGAATGAAAGGATAGCCAAGGATATATTCTAGGCTCAAGCTTAGAACATAGTGACACCATCTGTTGAGCAGTCTTTGTTTGCTGCTGCTCCAATATCCACGTTTATTCACGGTAAGTTGGTCAACACAGGTCATCTACCTGCTTGAGCATTTCTTTGTCGCTGTGATGACACCAAACATCTGGTAAACCTAGTAGCCTTGGACGTGTTTTCAGCTTCACACTTTGTATCGCTGATAACCACTTGGCTGCCGGAAGGAGACTTGGCATATCTGATCCCAACATGCTTCATACCCCAAGTGTTTCTGCATCTTTGTTCTATGTCCAAGGCTGATCGTAGTCTTGGTTCAGGTTCCCACGCCGCTTTCTCTCACCACAACAAACAAGGGACTATTGTCAATCTATTTTAAAGTATTATAGGATCCATCATTTCATCATAGCAGAAAGAACAAAAGAACATCACCTAAAGCGCCTTAGTTGCAAATAGAAATCGCCGTCTTACAATCTTGAGTTGTGATTTATTGTACCTCAAAGCAGTGATCTGATTATGAGCACCAAGCGCTCTCAACCGCTTTGATGAGCAGATTCTCGTACCTAATTCCATAATACCAATCCACACACATTTGATCTAAGGTATATACATACACCAGAATTGGAAATCAGAGCCAGTCCGTTCCGAGGTAGAAAGCAAAAAAGCATAGTTGCGCCAGCCAAACCTATGAGCCCCCTTTTTAGTCATCCAAATCCCAGCTTCAGATCATCATCATAGCAGATCAAATGCCTCTCCAGCCACAATGAATGAAATAAGGAAAGAGTCATCATCATTGCCCAAACATCCAGGCTCGTGATTCCGGGACCCTGCCCACTTCCGAATAAACCCTTTCCCGTCCCCCAACCACCATCATGATGCGCCAAAATGCAGTCGATCGAGCTCATGAAAATGCAATCCAAAAAGAAACAATCTTCAACAGTAACGTAAGAAAGTAAGCCAAACTAGACAAATCCTGAGTGGAAACGTGCGCCAAAACAAGGTGGCGCACAATCCCCCCGACCTTTCGGCACAAGGGGACAAGAAGGGAAACAGCTCAAACGGCCAGCCTCCGTCGTCATTGAGCTCGTGAAAGTGAACCATACCAGTGATACCAACTGATGATGGGTGCCAGATTGCATTTATGCAAAGGCACTATAATTGGGACTGCCGGATAGACAGCATGTTCAAACTTGGAGGACGCAGGGAATTGCGCGGCTTGGACCCTGAAACAATGTTCGAGCTTGTACAAGAATATCGGTGTCGGTCAAAGGGTATCCCTTGGAACTTTCAAGCCCTTTCAACTTCGCGGTTTGGGGCTTGGGGCACGGGTGAAGCCCTGCTCCCAGGCATCGAGTTCGCAGCGTAAGTATCCATACCACCAGAGGACTGCGTTATGGGGGTTGGCTGATACAGAGGAGCGTGTCGGTCAACAAGGCTTGGGCTCGTGTTTGCTCCTCGGTAGGAATAGTCGATTGTGTCTCCCTTCCATGACATGGTCGAACGCAGTGGTGACTGTGACGACTCTGATCTGGCTCTGGACATGGTGTCACGGAGCAGGGGAGGCTGGATAGGGAGAGGGCTTGGTCGGTTGATCTCGATAGGGGCGTCGAGGCCATGTTGTCCAAATGGGTGCGATGTCCTGGGGCTCGCTGTGAGGGGAGCAGAGAAGTGCCCGCCATAGGCATATCGGTCGCTCGAAGCTGGAGAAAGTGGTGAGACAATGCTAGGGCTATTCATGCTCCCAGCAGGGCTATACCCAAGCCCCCCAAATCCAGGAGTCAAGCCAGTCGGGGAGGCATGCTCGCTCGCCTCAGTCCTCCGTACATCGACGATCAGCGGCCTCATCATGTGCTGAGCATACGATTGGGTGTTGAATTGCCCTGGAGCCGACAACGGGGTGTTCATGCCATGAACAGCTCCGTATGGTGAATGGAGTGCCTGAACGTTATCAAATCCCTCGGGGACTGCTCTCATCTTGATCATTCGGTCGCGGTCGTCAGCGTTGAGACGCTTGATCTTGGCACGTCTAGTCCAGAGTCAGCAACACGAGGAAGGAGGAGGAGGTCAGGGGTAATATACCGATTCTGGAACCAGACCTGAACCTGCCGTGGGCTGAGTCCGGGAATTTCTCTCGACAGACGCTCCCGGTGCGCGGCATCAGGGTGTGGCTGCTTTGCAAACTCGCTCATAAGAAATCGAGTTTGCTGATGGGTAAGTCTGCAACTGTCAGCTCTTGTCCAAATAACTGGCCAAAACAAACTGACCTGAACCTCTTCATCTTGCGGCGAGCCGCTGCGCGTTCCGCCGCAGTTTGGGCAGGGTTGTCTCCCTCTCCATCAAGCATGTCGTCCTCATCCAAATCATCCTCGTCGTCATCCTTCAGAGAGTTTGCCTTTCCCACCTGCGACTTTCCAGACTCTGCGGTAATGAGGTTCTCTCGAGCTGATGTGCCGAACGTTGCTCCATAACCCCCACCCTGAAGGTTCGAGTGTCGTACTTCTGAAGGTAGTCCACGCTGGTCCGTCAAGATCGAGGCAGGAGCATGTATCTGGTTCGTCTCGGGCCTCACATGAATGCCAAGGGCATTGCCTCTACCTCCTGCAGGCTGTCGCGATTGTGCCCTCTGTGTTTCATCGCTCCGTTGCCCAAAAGGTTGGGTGAGCCCATCCCCGCTGTGGGTGCCTGAGTGCTGGCCTTGCCAACTGGATGGCGCCGGCAACTCGACATGAACATTGTAGGGGTTCGACATGCGTGGGCTTGCCGGATTGCGAGACGGATCGTATTTGCTAAAAGGCCAATGGCTATGCTCCGTATCGTATTGCCTGGTGACAAGCATCTGGACGAGGTGGTCGGAAGAAGAGAGCTCAAGTTATGTGAGAAAACGAATGGGGGTGAGACCACAAGATGGCCGGCTACCGCAGCTCTTCGAGTTGAACAGGCACAGTGCACTTCGACGGTTTCTCCCTTGTTGCCACGGACGGCTTCTCTCCGTCGGATTGTTGCAGAATGGGATGACACCGTTCCCGGGATAGTGACGAAGAAGTATACAAGGGCGCGCCAGATTAGGCCGTGGACTCAGGGGAAGGGATATCAGTTTGTTGAAAGATTAAACGGAAAAGAATGTGGGCGAGGCTTGGCTCTAGATATTGATTTCAGAAAAGAAAGCTGGGCTCTGTCTGTACAACAAGGTCAAGCTGGGAAGTAGAAGGAAGCTCTGGAATAAGGGCTGGTCTGGGCCAGAAACGAAGGGACGAGAGCATAGGCTGCAGTTCAGGAAAGGAGACGACTAGTGAGTCTGATGGAAAGAATGATTCCTATGCTCCAAGCCACATTGAAGTTGGGCTCTGGACGGATATATGATTAAAGTAGGTGAGGAGGCTTCCTGGCGGGGTTGATGGACGAGTGAATACGCAACTGGCATGTCCTTGCCAAGGGGCCTGGGCAAGGCCATCCATCCATCACCCCTGCTCAATATGGCAGAGGAAGAGTGAACAGTAACGAGGGGGGGCCGGAGGAATCAAGAGCATGCTGCTTGTGGATGTACCCAGGGGCCTGCAGAGGAAGTGGAACTGCAACGACTAGGCAATAAGAGGTGGGGGGTATCTGGTGTGGTACCTGCGGATTTGAGCGAGCGATCCGCCGTGCGTTTGACCTCATCTTCACGGACCAGGTCTGCTCCATATCGGACATTCCTTGCTCGCTCTCGCACTATGGCAGGCCTTTTGAGTCAGTCGAAACTTGTTCACAGATCAAGAAATCAGGGTCGAGGAACTGACAGGCGCCTCATGACCACGCAAGTCAAGTCCGTATGATGAACCCACAGTCGGGAATGAGCATACCCCCCAGCATATCCCCCCAGGAACCGCAGATGAGACGGAAGGCCGGGTATGGGCAGCAGATTAGCGACGCCATGTCTCCCGTCTCATAGAATTTGCACTGGAGAAGCCGCGAATGGGCAAAGGAGGCGAGGCCGGTAGAAGTCATGTGAGGGGATACGACAGACAGTCCCTAGCCACAAGGCAAGAGATGAGCGATTCATCAGTGATGTACAAGTGCTGGTGATCACAGAGCATCTAGAGCAGCATCATCGATCGAAGTTGTGCACGGAATGGCGCACAATGAAACCAGTGATGCACTCCAGGCCATGGCGAGTCCACCAGCATCGATTGGTCCTTCATCATATCGACCCTGTGTTGAGACGGTTGAGCGCATGTTGCGCATAACCGTTGTCGCGCCTTGAGCAGCCCCGAGCCAATAGGATCCTCGCAAGGGTTAAGAGGGGGGTGTGCTCCGCACCGTTGTCAGGAGGGGTGTAGGGAAGACTCCAAAATCTAGTTGCTCTGATCATTGCCAGGGTCTCCAAGGTCAAAGCATACTTGTGTGGGAAGACAGGGGTGTTGAATGAGAAGGAAAGGGTCTTGGGCGAGGGGAGTTGCTCGAGATGAGATGAGGCAGAGGGATCATTCTGCACGTTGGCTCTCTGGAGGGCTCGGAGAGAGTGAGTGGATGAACGATGGGGAGATCATATGGGTGATCGTCGTCTTCCCTGTGAGATTTGGAACAAGGCTGGGTGGTGTGGTGGTCGGGGTAGGCGCTGGGAAGGGAGACAAGCCCGCGAGATGAGGCGAGACGAGGCGCCAAGTGCGCAGAAGGTGAGCCCAGAGTCGAGACACTGTCTGTCGTTGCTTGGTGTTTGGTGATAGGAGGACGTCGCGGTAAAGCAAGGCAAAGACTTGGTGAGAAACCATCACCAGCCCATCCCATAGCTCAGCATGTTTCGACTCTTCGTGATCGTGTCTGACAGATGACCGAACTAAGCCAGCTGTTTCTGTACCAGCTTTGGGACAGTGGATACGCAGAGCAACCAGTGTCGAGAACTTTGTCATGGGCCCCATCGAGACGCAGCAAGGACGGCACTTGGGGGCCAGGGGTAATAATGAGATGATTACCCAGAGATACACAGGCAAAGCTGCATAGAAGGGCCGACGGCCGCGGCGGCAATGGCCTCGGTGACGAGGCGCACGCACATGTGGCGGAGGATTGAGGCGTGAGAAGATAGTGGAGGACGGCGGCCGTTTGAGCGTCCCGCCACGCTGTCGCGGGGCAAGAAGGACTATTGATCCATGGGAATCCCGTCGAGCGGATGCATGGACAAAACATGGAAAAAGGTCTTCTATTTCTGGAGTGCCGCCATCCTGGAGGGAGGTGCTGCGGATTCCACGGGAGAAGCCGTAAAGTAAATGTGCCTGGTATGCAGGTGCCTATGTGCCTTGTTGTCGCCCTGGTCGTTGCAGGAAGGCTCTCGTCTGTGCTACTCGTGGGAGCATCTCGAGGATCCCATGGAGTAACAAGGCATCGAACGCCATTTCGACTCATCAGAGGGAAAACATGACCGGTTACTGTGGCGTAGTGCAACGCCAGACATGATCCTTTTAGTTGCAGTGCATCAGATGCTAGTGCTTGATGTTGCAATGGATCGAGTCTGAGTCGAGTGGTGTTATGTGATGCATCGTCTTGGAGGTGGACAGTGCCTTTCGATCATGGTTTGAGATGGAGACAGGCACAGGCACAGGCAGACAGGCAGAGACAGATGCCGCGGGAAACACCGTCGTGTCTGCCCAAAAGCCGAGTTGCAGTTGGATGCATGGGGAAGGAAGGGGAAAGGTGAGATGCCGATCATCGGGCTGCTTCCTGCCGTTTTCTCGCTTGAATGCCCGTACTTTCTTTATGTGCTGACAATGCTGGCTCATTCTGCAGGTGCCCCCCTCCATCTGCAAGTTCTAATTCGACCCTCCCGGAAATCCAGGGCAGGTGCAGCAAGGCACAAGCAAGCAAAGTTCAACAGCCATACCTCATGGATGGAATGGAATGGACCTACATTAAATTTTCTTCAACAGATGCAAAACAACGGGAGGTTGTCCCGGGCCACTACTTCCTCGTACACGACACTAGCCCAGTGTTGGCCAGGATCAAGGATCGGGCCCGCAGCCAACCCGAACCTGGAAGTTTCATCCTTCAACTGGCTTGAGCTTTACTTTGCACGCACCAAGGGCATTCCTTTGGCGCTGCTGCCGACGAAACGCCCATGATCCCAATGGTGAACAGTACGATGACCGTGATGACGACTCCCAACGGCTTCGAAACGGGCCCATTTTCTCACGGCATCAGAGGGCATGGGTCTTGTCCTCAGCCTTGATCCTCACCTCCGAGCTTCTAAGGACAGGTCAAGAACGCGGCCATGATCCATCAAGGCTCTTCAAAGTTCCCTCCGAAACCCACCTTTCTCGCCTTACGGGGGGTACTGTAATTATCGTCAACCCCCCAACTCCATCATCTCGGTCCCGCGAGTCCATCGGACCCGGTGACAGTCGGCCGTCTTTCGGATTCAACAATTTCGCCATCTGGCCAGAACTGCGGCCGCTGCGGCATATTGAAAATTCGAGTAAGCACCAATGTGCATTCAGCTGCATATCGTTCTTGCGGTCAACCTCTGAGCTCTAGCCACAGTTCATAGGATACTGTAGAGTATTCTCGCCTTCGAACCATACCTTTACGAAGAGATTACAAGCAATCACTTGCTCCGATTTCTAAAGACTTAGAATCCAATCGGCAACGCAGTCTTGAACAGCTACCTTGACAAGGTTTCCAAGATCCTCAGCGTTGCATGCAACTCTGATGAGCTTCCCGACAGGATGGAGGATCGGTGGGGCGTGGATGAGAGACATCGCCCTGTCTCACTGCTTGACTGTCAGCGTGGCTTGGAGAACCGTGACACAACCTAATATCTCACAATACGACGGGATCTCGCTGGTAACATTGCCCAACTTCAGTTATCTCGACCGCCATCTCGTATGGACACAAGCGTTGTGCCAGCAGCCGAGATAGAGTACGAGCCCGGTCAAACAGCGAATGATGGAACTGAAATCATGGACACAAGAGAACGAAAGCATGTCCCATCGTCCAACATACACTGTTTGAAATCCCAACGTGTCTTCGAGTATTTACCCTGCGTCAACGGGAATCCCACTCGCACGGTTTCCAGTCGGCACCATGCATCCCGTCACAAACACAAAGCCACATGTTCGGGAACGATGTTTCTCCCGTTTCACAAACTTGGACCATTTGCTGTATTCCGTCAACATCAAAGACAAACGGGATGGATAGGGCCAAGCACTTCTCCTCGCGGCATTTTGCATTCTCACATTCTGTGACGCATTGAGATTCTAACCTCCTTTACGGAGACAAGACAGCACTGTCTCGATTCTTGTCATGACATCGATGCCAGCAACTTAGAGTTTACTACCCTAGCTCCCGTGGCAGTCTCGAAACGGTGGTTATTTTGCAGTTGTGAAGGCTGATACATACACACCTTGTGGCCCCCAGATTTCAGGAGCGCCATCTCCACGCCCAGTGAACTAGGGTCCCCGGACGCCACGCATTGCCTATCATCCCCAATTCTTGATTGTTTCGAACGAAAGTGTGGTTGTTTGAAGCTTCAGCGAGGAGTTCGGACAAACACCACCAACATCTCAATATGCAACAAACGCCCGCCGAATCCGTCTCCTTCGATCCGCTGCTGACAGCCCCGGGCTTCTAGGCTCTCCGATCGATCACCAGTCTCGTCGATGGAGTGAGAGACGAGGTAAACTAAGCCAAGGGTCAAGAGATGACAGGAGCGTTGCAAGGATCTCTTACGGCCTCGCCTAATGCCCCGATCGCTCCGTACATCCATATTGAAAAGGATGCGGCAACCGTTGAGACCCTCTTTCGTCACACTAGACCCTTCAACAGGGAAGGAATTACGGTTCTTTTCCTTCGAGAATCTGCAAACCCGGTATTTAATTTTCCTCGTCCCTTGAGTTGCCTGCAAGCAGAGCGAGTGACCCCTCGGAGTCGTTCGATCCGGTCCCCAGCACGCATTCTTGCAGTTCCCCTGCCCAGGGCAGAACTTTGAAAGGCGAATAAGAAGGATCCTTGGCTCAGCCAACATGATGACATGACGTCCCACACAGCCAGGCCGCGTCCTCAAACAACGGCAGTTGGCAGGTAGTTGCCACCTCGGTTGACGATTGTTACCCCAAATTATCTTTCCTCAACCGGCCACGGTACTTGAGCCCGAATGATGCAACTTGCAGTTGACCCATCCATGCCCTACGGGGATTGTGCAGTCATCTACGGATACTACAGCAACGTTTATTACAACTCGTACCAGCACGCGAGCAGATAGTACTATTCAAAGTGTCAATCTCGGTGGCTGAACCAGGTCTGGGGCCGCGGAAGTGTGCCGCTTGGGTCTTACATGGACACTGCCCGCTCAACAAGCAGTCAACATTGATTACGTCTCCTCATATCTACATACCTCGTGCTCTAGATCTGGGAACATGTTGCTGAGAGTGGCAATGTTATTTAGACCCACTGACGGCCCCATCTCTTGCCCGGGCACTAGTCCTGGTTCCCGTCAATGATATGGACTGTATCTCTACACAGCATCGCAGCAATGACCTTGCTACTGATGCCGGATCTCGTCACGCTCGAGACCTGCAGCCAGAGAACAAGCGGTGTCCCCGACTGCCAGACCTTTGATCAACCAGTCGCATCTACTGTCCGATCGATCATCTCTAACCCACCATGCAAGGTCTTGCCCGGAAGACATCCGCCTGCACAATGGCCAGGTTATCCCATGTCTGACCCTCTCGCCTTGGAGCAATTCCCCGGTAGCATGTTTCATCCATACAAGAATGAGTCCCGAGATGGAGCTTCTCGTGGACGGACTGAGGAACATTCTGGATCGACGCATCCCTGCTTGCCGAGAAGAACCCCAGAGTGGTCATTTGGCAATAAGGGTTGAAGAGTTGCAACGAGCATTAGCCTCCTTACCAGCCACGGCATATTCACCATGGCGAAGAGCGTGGTTCGTGTTTTCTTCATCAAACTCAGCTTTGACTACAGCCCGTACAAGACATCATGGAGGTCATGGGCGCCATGGCGGCCACAGCTTCCTGCTGGCCCATCGACGTGCTTGTCGGGGAAGGGCGGCGGCGAATCTGACCGTCACTTTCTAGCTCAGCCTTGGGGGTTCATCAATCTTGACGAGTCCCACCTGTACTCGTCATTCGCTGCATCTTGTCGAAAAGTTTTGGCTCCTTGCAGCCAGAATCAGCCTACACAATGATGCTGGGCCCACCATCATGAGAGTAACGATTTTTACACCTCACACTGCCTCTCCAAGGCGGGCATGTGGCCTCCAACAACCTGGCAAGGAGCTGATGAGACATCCATTGCCGACCTACAGAGACCATGGCCGCCGCTCGGCAATTTCCTGGACAACTCAATCTACATGCTTCAGGCATGTTCAGATGAAATATATTGGCAAACAGACGGTTTAGGGTCAGAGCCCGCTTTCTCCATTTCCTAATGCTGACTTGAGATTTCGGTAGCAAGACGCTCCATCCCGGGTAAAGCCCTCATGCGTCCGCCATCTGCGGCACGAGCCCTAGCCGAAGCAGACGGGACAAGTTTTTCTGTGGATGGATCTTGGGCCTCGCGCTCTTCGCCGATTCAAAGAAGCAAATATCGAACGATTTGACGCTGAGGCGGCCGTGTCAGAGGCGCCGATGATGCACGTCAACTCGCTTCGCGTGATCGGATGAAGGAAGGATGAAGACGCTCGTATTAGGGCATGTCCTTGCTTCGGCAAGAATCCTTTGGTTGGTGAGTGGCTCGGTCTAAGTCATTGTAGGCCTCGATCCCCTGCCGGATGTGCAGGTTTCTCGGCGCTTTGCTGGTCATCTCTGGAGAGCAGAGGGACGAGGGACTTGGAGGAGTCATGGCTCGTGGGGTAGCCGGGTGACTCTCTGATGTGCCAGATACCTGTGCTTTTGCGCCCTTTACCCGCTGTTGTCGCTGTTGTCGCCGCTGAGCAGAGTATCTGGCCTATCGGCCGTACTAGTGTGAAGATACCGCTGCACTATACACTATGTAGGTAATCACTTCGCCAAGTAGCATGAACGCAAGCCCTGAGAGTACCTTAGCTTCGAGTAACTCATAGTACTTGGAGCCAAGTTTCCTATTTTTGGCGGGCTGGTCCGAGCCAGCCCCCCGTTGTTGTATGGCTTAATATGTTTCCTGCATGGTAAGTAGGCAAAAGCCTCAAGGTAAAACCTGTTTGGAGCAACTTGGGCTTGAACGAACGGGTCAGGATGTAACCTCGTGGGCTAGTGTTTTTAAAAAGTCCGAACGGATAGTGGAAAAGGGAGATTAGGGAAGTGATATCTCCTGTATGAGCACATGATGGATGGATGGTCAGGAGTTGCAAAAGTTCGCAGCCAGGAGAACTGATCAACACAGGCGCCGGCTGCTTCGAATATCGATTGCATACCCTTGCTACCCGGGAACAACTCTGCAGAAACGCAAGCAGATCCATCCATCGACCCTTTGCGCGAAGGGGTTTCCGGATATGGCAAGCCTATTTGAGCTCAGCGTTGAGACGAGGCTAATGACGATCATACCGAACCGCAACTGCCGGGCTGAGCCTCAACATAGAGTCGACAGTTGACTTTCCGTCTAGCTGCTCGCGTAACTGTTCCGTCCCGTTCCCCTCTCAGCTGGGGGCTGCTATTTAGAAAAGCTCCCGTGGCCCGTGTGGGCTCAATTGCGTGGTTAGGCCCTCACGAGGGGGACTTCGGCCGGCCTCCGTTGTACGGGACAATCACACGTTGCATGTATCACATACAAAGCGGAATTGGACAGCATTCTTTCTGAGCCACGTGCTTGTTTCCGAGATTCCGAAAGTCATGTTGGTCGAGTCTTTGATGTTTTGTTTTCAACCCTGGAAAGGGGATAACGGGACGTTTGAGGCGCTTGCCCACGAAGCCGCGGCTGGAGCGCTGAAGCTTGAGGGCTGACGATGGGACAGCTACATGGTTTTATGGTTTCCCAAGCATCTCCGAGGGCTGTGGGCGATACTGCCAGCGGGGGCGAGCTGGGCTAACACGAGTAGAGGTGAGTTGAGCAAGGCTATCGGATGCTAACGCTTTCATTGTTCGTAATAGTATTTTCCCTCTATACCTATACTCATTGAACGTCAACTATGAAACAATTTTGGTGACTTTGGATTTTAACTAATGTGTCAATAGTCGTAGAAACCCTTGCCGCTCTTCTTGCCATACCATCCAGCGTTGACCATGTTCTTCAGCAGCACACTCGGCCTATACTTGGAATCGGCCGTCTCCTCGTACAAAACCTTCATGATGGAGAGGCATGTGTCGAGACCGATAAAGTCGGCAAGCTGTAGAGGACCCATGGGCACGTTGGTGCCATTCTTCATGATGGCGTCAATGGAGTCGCGGTCTCCGACACCGGTCTCGAGGCAGATGATGGCCTCGTTGATATAAGGCATGAGGATTCGGTTGGCGAGGAAGCCAGGCGAATCGGCCGACACGGATGTGACCTTGCCCATCTTCTTGCAGAACTCGACGGCAGTGTCGAGGGTGTCCTTGCTTGTCTGGAGACCGCTGATGATCTCGACACCCTTTTGCACGGGGACGGGGTTCATGAAGTGGGTGGAGACGACGCGGGACGAGGCCGAGGTGTCGGTGGGATCAGTCGTCGTAGAGGCAGCGATACGAGTAATAGAGATGGACGAGGTATTTGTGGCGAGGATGGCATGCTTGGGGCAGATCTGAGCGAGCTTGCCGAAGATGTCGAACTTGAGCTTGGGGATCTCGGGGACGGCCTCAATAACCATATCGGTAGAGGAGAGGTCCTCCATCTTGGTGCTGGTGCTTAGAAGGGACCGCGCCTTGTCGGCCTGCTCCTGTGTAATTCTCGACTTGGAGACATCCTTGGCTAGAAGCTTCTCTACGGCAATATCAGAAGGGAAGCCGAATAACAGGCATTGGAGCTCGTACCAGCGAAAGCAATGCCCTTCTCCAAAGCCTTGTCGGAGGTATCAATCAGGGTCACAGGAACCTGAGCTCTCTGAGCAGCAACGAGAGCAATTCCCAATCCCTACGTGGTGGTTAATTGACGTGACGCTCTTCACATGCCATTCTCGCGACTCACCATCTGGCCCGCGCCGATAACACCAAGGCTCTTGACCTCAGCAGCAGCGTACTGTCGGGGAGAAGAGCTAAAGCAGCGCACCTGGCGCGCAGCTCCCAGCGAGCGCATACGAAGGACCGAGGAAGCCATTGGAAGCGACAATGAAGAATGTGGTATATTTGCAGCAAAGATTGGATTGTGTGTTTCTGTCTCGGCGTGTTATAAGCTCTCCCCGTGGGGGACGAACGATACGGCGGCCCATGCCATCATAAAGCGGGTAACCTCGGCATGCCCCGGACTTTTTGCCCACTCTGTACCGTGTGTACCGGAGCCGACGGCTCTTTTGTCAGGTGCCGACGACGTGCCGCCGCTCTTGCCGTTTTCAGATACAGACAATCTTATCTTATCTTATCAGCGCGCGCATCAATTAAGCACGCCGGAGCCGAGAAGACGCGTCTAGACGCGTCGACCTGCCTATGGTGGGACTGGACTTTTGAAATGTTGCCCAGCCAGCAGCCCCACGACATGTGATGTGTCTATCTACAACAGTTGACATTCTGTTGATACGTTGCAATCATGGAGTTGGCGGACGGCACCATTGACATTGTGCATCCCGAAGTGCGAGCCCACGTCAACAGTCTCGTATCTGCTGTAAGTTCCCCTGAAACTCGACGGCCCTCAAAGATGCTAACCAACAACCCCAGCTGGGAGGTATCAGCGCCGACGACGATGGCCGGTATCAGCTGGGTGACGACGCCCTCGAGGTCCTCCGGGATCTCAAGCGCTGGATACGATTCTACGACGAAAAGACGAACCGCATGGATGTTGCGCGATGCATCTACGAAGCGAACCTGATCGAGGGTGACTTGCTCCCCATCCTAGCGACATGGCCCGAGAACGCCATGGACAGCAAGTTCAAGTCAAGAATGGCGCTGGCTTGCTTTGAGCTCATGGTTCCCCTCACCTGGCCGATGGAGCGCGACAGGGAGCGCATGACTGTGAATCATCACCGTCACATGCCTGTTCTGGAGCTGGCGCAGGTGGCATACAAGAGGGCTGTCATCAACTTTGATGGAGCAAGAGTCCTTCACACAGCAGTTCGAGTGGCCCTTCCCTCGATGGCGATACCAATCGGCGATCGAACTCAGCGCGACCAAGGAATCATCAAGCTAGTTCTCTTCTTCCTCCGCAATATTGCCATGATCGAGCCTCCCCCTGACGTCAAATACGATGGCGACGAGTCCCAGATATCGAGATCAGCTACCATCGACGCCTTTTCCTACCAAGACATCTTTATGGTGCTTCTTACCCTCGCTTCCAACATGGGAGATGACTTTAGGACTGAGGATACGTCTGTTATGGAGGTCATATACCACTTGGTCAAGCAAGTCGACATCGAGAAACTATTCATGAACGAGCAGCAGCTGAGCAAGGCTAAGGCTGGGGAACTCGCTGCCATGATGAATAAGGAGTCTTCGATGCTGAAAGCGTACAATCGAAAAGGACCGACACGACATAACCGGTTCGGCACCATGATATGGGTCAAGAGAGAGGATGGCAAGATGTCGTCACTCTCGGGACAAGATGCACTCGCTGATGCCTCGATGCGAAATCAGAAGTTGGACAACACCAAGACATTCCGACCACCTCGCCGAGCACGGAAAGCAGACAAGGATGAGAAGGACCTTGGACTCCCAGCCAAGCTCAACTCGCGAGCTTACGACCAACTGAGATCGTTTGTGGAGGAATTTCTCGACTCTGGCTTCAACCCCCTATTTCAGCATATCCGCAAGTCGATTGATCGAGAGGCTCCGTATCTCATGCAGTATCACCGTCGTCAGTTCTTCTACCTGGTTGCATGGTTCCTCGAAGCGGAGCGCATGAGACGCAAGGCGAGGAAGCAGGCTGGCAAGAAGACCGATGAGGATGTCAGCAGCTTCAACCTTGTTGCTGGCGTTCTCAACCAAGAGATGTTCATCACCCTCAACAAGGCTCTTCATGAGTCTCTTGACATGAAGGACTGGCATGAGCTCACTGCAGTCATGCGCTGCTTCACCCAGATTCTCCTGACAGTTCAAGAGATGTCGGATTCTGGAAATGAAGACAACGAGGAGATCGCCGAGAACGTCCTTAGCCGTCTCTTCTATGAAGAGGCTACTCACGACGCCATCGCAAACATTATCCGAAGCTACAAAGATCAGGGCTTCAACTATCTTGACGCCGCCACAGAACTTGTCCATCACTTTTTGCGTATTCTAGAAGGATACTCGAAGCAAAACATTGACATGCAAGTCCGCTCTCGAAAGCGCACTCGTCAGAAGAAGAAGGCAGCGCAGGATGCAGCAGGGGTCGACAATGACAACGAAGAAAACGACGATTCAGATAATGACGCCCAGACTGCAGAGCGCACGACAAAGGAACGCAAGTTCGACTTTCATCGATTTGCGTCACGCTTTACTCCTCAGGGTGTGGTCGATACCTTTGTGGCCTTTGCCAAGTTCTATCGTGACATGAACGATGAACAGCTGAAGCGGATACATCGGTACTTTTACCGCGTAGCTTTCAAGCAAGAAGCGAGTGTCATGCTCTTCCGTGTAGACATCATCAATCTCTTTTACAATATGATCAAAGGGCCTGCTGCGTTGGACAAGTCGTCTAGTATGTTCAAGGAATGGGAAGAGCTGGTCAAGCAGATCTTGCGCAAGTGCTTCAAGAAGATCGAACAACGACCGGAGCTCATTGTAGAAATGCTCTTCAGCAAGCTATCAGGAACCGCATTCTTCCTCGAATATGGCTACGAGCGACAGACAGTGACCACAGCCAGCAAGACGAAACCTGGAGCAGAGCTTGTCTTCAAGGACGACACGGAGGAACTGGATCGACAAATCGCCATCGTGGTGGGAGCGATGTTGGACAAGAATCAGGGAGAACATATTGCTTGGCTCAAGAAGATTCTTGGTGAAGCCGAGACTGAGCGACGAGCGTGGGCCGACGCTCAGGAGGCGATGCCTCCAGTCGAACCAATACAAGATGACGAGGAAGAACAACCGACAGTGCCAGAGCCAAAGACGGCTCCAATGTTTTGTAAGTTTTCTCTTGTCCCAGCGACTTGCAGTTACTAACAGATTCCAGATGTTCGTCCGGATGACAATGCCCGCCGAACAACCATGTTCAAGAACTCCTACTTCCGTCTGTTGATGAACCTCAGCGGTCTCCGACTTCTCAGCCCAGCTTCAGAGGAGACACCCGAGTCTGCGTGGATCATACCTGGAGACTTGTCAGCCGATGGCCTCAAGGATGCCATCCACTTCATTAACCAAGCCGAGTTCAGCCCTCCAACTTTCGAGGAGGGCGTCCTTGCAGAACATCAGCTCAAGCGCAAGCCTCCTCCGCCAAAGAAGGCAGCTTTCGATGATGATGACGACGGTGATTTGGATGGGGTGCCACTATTCCCCGCGGGCGGACCTACAGTGCGAAAGGTCATTGATGAGAATGGCAAAGACAAGCCCAAGAAGACACGCAAGAAGCGGCGGCCGCTTACCGACGCCGAGAAGGAAGAGGCGAAGCGAAAGAAGAAAAAGAGCGCGCACGAAAAGCTCATGAACATCAAGTCGACCGAATTCGTAAGAGACAGCGACGACGAATTCACACTGGAAGAGGACGAGGCCTTCTTCGCCCGAGAGCGCGAAATCGCGGCGCAGGCTGCGCATGCTAGGGCGACTGCTCTGGGCGAGGACGCCGTGGTGGGCAAGTCAGGTCGTGGTCCTGCGCTTCGCAAGCGTGGTCGGACAACCAAGGCAACTGTTGCGAGCTCTGACGACGAGGATTCAGACAAGGATGACTTCATCCGCAAGGCCATGGATGGTACCATAGAGGAGGACAACGAGGAGGAGACTTCACAAGATGACAGCGATGGAGAAGCCCGCAAGAGGAGGCGTGTCAGCACTGAGAGTGAGAGCGAGGACGAGGACGAGGACGAAGATGAGGATGAGGATGAAGAGATGGGTGGGATGGACAATGCAGCTGACAAGGGGGCTGGCAAGGAAGCTGGCAAGGAGGTCGACAAGGAGGCCGACAAGGCTGATGAGGACGAAGATGTGGCGCCAGTAGTTGCACGAAGACCGAGAGCTCGAGGAGGCTTTCTCATGGATAGCGATGATGATGAGTAGGGGGGAGGGAACAACGGCGTTTAGGTCACTCATGGTAAGCACATGTGTGTACGAGATGATCCACGGTCGAAGGCTGTACAAGGCTAGAATTAATGAACGATACCAAATGTAAGAGATGTTATAATCTTGAAAACGTCATCATCATTATCATCGTCATGCTTTTAAATCTCCTTTCATCCATCTTATCCAACCCCCTGATTCTAACTGTCCGTGGTATATCCTCCTATATCTCCCGTGCAATACTCCACCATCTATACAAATCATCTATCATATATCTTTCTATACATCTGAATGTCTTGGTGGCCGCCTATCAATGCTTCTTCTTCTCGTGGCCGTACTCTGTGCTGACTGTATTTGTCCCAACTCAGCGAGGTCCTCTTGGCTCTTCCGTGGGGCTCCAGGGTGAGCAAAGACACTGTCGTGATGCTCTAAGCGACGCAAAGGGCCAGTTTGTGACACCTTACGACTGGACATGGCCGAAGTCTCGTTACTGGGGTCTTCCTCTTTGCCGCCGCCGCCGCCTCCCCAGGCTCCGCCAATACCTTCCATAGTGAATTCCGAGGCAGTTGGTTCATCAAGAAGTGAGAGTTCTTCAGGAGAGAAGACATACGGGAGAAGCCAAGCACGAATGGGGATGAGAGCGAGAATAAAGACAGGGAATCCCACAGCAGCAACGGTCTGAGTAATAGCAAAGGTGGCGCCGAATCCAACAAGCTCAACGAGGACGAAACCCCAGATGGCGGCTCGGCGGCGCACCCTGAGAAGCGGGCTTGCCGAGGGTGTGAGGGCCCGGTCGCGGGCAAGGAAGACGAGCTTAGCGGTGATTCCGTTGCCTTCGAGGGCCTGGACACCCATAACGAAGAAGAGGCCAGCAAGAACGCCATGTGGAATGAGGTGAAGGACAACGAGCAGGGGGCCAGTCATGGTACCGAGGGTGAGAAGGCCTTGGGCAAAGTTGGAAAAACGCTGCTCGACGACATGGGTTGCTTCGAATGAGTAACTGCCATCTCGTGGGTTGCCTTCTTCATCTTCGTCCTTCACAGCCTTTGTGACGCAGAGGGATTCGGTATGGAAAGGGGCTTGAGGGATGAGGCCATTGGGGAAGGGCAGACCCAGGATGCCAGCGATGCCAGTCGTGAGGCCGAGGAGAAAAAGGTCCCAGTGGAAACCGGCGGGTTTTCGGAGAGGAAACTCGCTGCCCTGAGCAATGAGCGAAGAGACTGGATTGTTAGCAAGAAAACGTAGATAGAATCCTGAGTTCCCCACGACATACCATTGTGGTCAAACCAGAAGAGAACAGTCAAGAGAATAGCAAAAGGAAGAGCCAGGAAAATGTCGCCTGCGCTCATATCCCAGAAGTTGACAAGCCAACTCCGACCAGAAGTTGGCACAAAAGCGATGCCAGTCGGGAGAACATCAAGCTTGATCTCAGACATGCGGCCTATGTGGACGAAGCCGGTGAAGAAGATGAGGGTCAGGGGCGTGCCATAGTCTTTGAGAAAGACACGCAGTGGATGTCGAAAGAGGCTGCTGGAGCCGAGCTCACCGCAGGCATAGGCGACCATGAAGACCAAGAGGGCGGAAACGATGGAGAGATAAAACTCGGGGCCATTTCCCAGACGCTCGAGGACCTGAATACCCTTCTGGAGGTAGATGAAGGCGACGTAAAAGCCAAAGATGTCGCAGGGGAAGCGAGTGACCCAACGGAGCCAATTACACGAATTGGTGATGGCAAGAATCCAGTGTAGAATTAGTGACCATCTAAAAGGTCAGTACACAGAGTGCCGAGTTGTGCCGAGGAGGCTGGACTTACATGCCGATCCAGCACATGAAGCCAATGTAATTGACACCAGTGGGCTTCATGATATCGTAGACGGTGCTAGTAGCAAAGTTAGTCAGATTAGTCTGGAAATGCGAATACCACGAGATTCTCACTAATTAAAGACGGTAATTGGGCCTGGGGATAGTTAGTATCAATAACTCTAGACGGGATGATGACTTGCCCGTGACACCAACGATGACCAGGGGTTGCGCGGCAAACAACGAAAACACCACAGCTCCTAGTACAGAAGCTAGCAAAACCTCATTGACGCCATAGTTGGATCCCGTCTTTTGGAACATGTCGAGCGAGAAGGCGAGGGCAGGCAAGATGCTACGTGAGCGAGTCAGTCGCATGTTCATCCCAACGTCATGGACCGGTTGATCTTGACAAGAAGAGATATTGAAAACTTTGATACTCACTTTGCAAAATACATGTACACGGTGGCCGGGACGACTCGATAGTCCCAGGCATCGACCCAGTCGCTCACGTAGAAGGGCAGCCGTCGGCGGATGTCGTTTGTCATGCCGCGGAAGAGATGAATCTTCCACCAGGCTTCTTGTCCAGCTGGTGAGGACATGGGTCCAGGAGGAGCATGATCATCAGAAGGAAAAGATTTCATCTCGTGACCTGCCGAAGAAGAAGCCATGATGTTTCGTTTATGATGTTTCAAGGTTCAAGGATTTCGGCATAGATTGGGGAAGCGTAGTGTATGTAGTTGTTGTTGTCGGTCTGGGAGTGGCGCACATGTGGTGACATTCGAAATAGTCCTGATGTATAACGAATGGCTAACGCTGATTTCAAGGATGTTAAAAAAAAAAATTGGCGGAGAAGCGAGTGACGAGAAATGCAAAAAGATGATGTATATATAATACACAGGAACAAGGACAAAAAAGTCGGGAAAGCAAGAATGTCACCGCTGCTGCAAGGGTCTCTTCGGGAGTGGATGATGCCCAGTATCGAGCTCCACACTAGGAAAGTCCCCTTTGTCCTTGTGACGATCCAACAAGACCCTGGTCTTCCTGCCTAGGGATACTTTAGAAGGGGGAAACATTCGATTCGATAGGACGAGACGAGACGCGGAGGATGGATGTGAGGTGACGGTGAGGGTGAGGAGGGGAGAAAAGAGAGGAGACAACCGAGGAGAGGACAGAAGGAACGACGAAAGGTAAAAAAAAAAAAAAAAAAAACATACTACTACAAAAACCACACCCGGCGACATCCATCTCGCACCCGGCAAGGCAAGGCGGCAAAGTCGCTTCCATTCTCTCAAGAAAGCAATGGAAAACGGGCAGCGATAGGCCTGTGATGCCATAGCGATACTTTAGCAGCCAATCCCAAGCGACCAGCAGCGGGTGCAGCACAGGACAGGCATTTGGCGAGATGATGTGCATGGTTATTTCCGGACAAAAGGCGTCCTTTCCCCTCTCCCCCCCCATCCAAGTTCGCCGACGAGGGTATTCCCTTTTGAGCAATACATGCAGCAATTTTTGACCCAAGTCTTGATAGGGATGGAAGTAAAGGAATATTCCGAGACATTCTCTCAACGGTCAGTCTTGGATCACGACGACTGACCAATTACTCCGGTTGAGTTGACTGTACGGGTACTGTACACGTACATAAATCCATCACAGACTGCCAAGATCCCTTTATCCACTCTGCACGATGCAGTAACAGCAAAAAGAAAGGAAAATCGATAACCTGCCATCCATCCATCCCATCCATCCACAGCCAAATCATGGACCCCCACAAAACACCACCTCTTTACGTCACATCCGCCAAACTTGGGTCTCTCTAGGCCCTCGTAACCACAACTCTAACAGGACTCTACACTAAATACGTACAACTAAAATCCATGCGCTCTCTCTCCTTGTCACCGCCCATGCACGGAACCTTTTTTATGACAGCTTGTTTTCAATGGAAAAAGAGGAGCTTCGCCCTCTTTTCGCTTATTACTTCTAGTCCCCGTAACACGCGAGACTTTTGACGTCCATTACACGACAGAGCCTCCTTGGTTTTTGGGGGATGGGGGGAACTTTTCTGCCCAATCAGATGGGCCGCTTCTAGAATTTGACATTTCCTCAATCCAACGTCGGTCAACCTTGAAAGTCCGCTGCCGAAGCTGCTTTTGCATTGTCCGGAAAAAGGATCCAATAGTCTGGTCCCTCATATCCACCCTGGTCAACATCACTAATATCCATCTCAACTATAACACGAAACACTTTGGATACGGATACACAAGAAACATTCATATCACAGTCATTCCCACTTCATATAATAATTGTACAGTTCTATCACCTAGAAATACAATGGTACATGATTCATGTTGTTCCTTTTTTTCCTCCTGGACCTCCCAACATGGGGTTTGCCCAAAAAAAATACATTGTGACATGATCCAAGGGACTGATCAAGGTAGAGTTGAGTGCCTCTTTGTTGCGCCTGCTGTGGCCGCGCTGAGCCCATTCCCCATCTTCGTCTCCATCCCCATCCCCGTCCACGAGCTGATTACTCTCCAGAGCCGCCTCCGAACCCCCCGGCCCCCGGCTCCGATCCCCTGAAGCCTGAGCCCTGGGCGCTCTTGTCCGACCAGTCATCTTCAGCTTCGGCCGAGTCGTCGTGGCCGCAGCCAATCCTCGCTCTGCCTCAAGTTCCCCGTCATCCCTCCTCCTTCACAGCCCTCCAGGCCAGACCAGACCCGCGGCGCGAGCCATGCGCCTTGGCGCACCACATGTCTGCGGCTTCTCGCACATCGGCTGCCCCTGTTGGTCTTGTTTGACGTCGCTTATCACCCCGGCTGCCCGCTTACTCGACCTTCTTGAACGCCGGAGAAGGCGCAGGAGGCTCCTTGGGTGTATCCGTCTCCTCGGGGAATGGCGGAGGCATGCTCTGCTCCTTGCCGCCTCCAAAGTACTTCTCAAAGTCTTCGTTGTCGCCAAACGGTCTCCGGCCGAGGATTCGCACCATGTCGTCTCGCACCAGCACCTCCTTCTTGAGGAGCTCCTCCGCGATCAGGCCAACTTCCTTCTTCTTTTCCGTCAGGAGACCGCGGCACTTCTGGTAGGCCTGGTCCACGATCCGCGACACCTCCTGGTCGATCTGCTGAGCTGTCGACTCGGCAAATGGCTTCTGCATGCGGTTCGGGTCGTTTTCGAAGTGCACAGGGCCCACCTTCTCCGACATGCCCCATTGGGTCACCATGTTCCGTGCCATCTGAGACACCTTCTTGAAATCGTCGCTAGCACCCGTTGTCACGGTAGGGAAGTGGAGCTCCTCTGACACGCGGCCACCCATCGTCATTGCCATTCGGTCCATCAGCTGGTTGGTGTTCATCAGGTAAGCATCCTGAGGCAGATACTGGGCATAACCCAGAGCGCCCTGGCCACGGGGAATGATGGACACCTTGAGGAGAGGGTCTGCGTGCTCCAAGAACCATCCGCAGATAGCGTGGCCGGCCTCGTGGTAAGCCACAGTCTTCTTCTCCTCTGGCTTCAGGACCAGCGACTTGCGCTCCAGACCGCCAATTACTCGCTCAATGGCTCGCTCGAAGTGGTCCATCTTGACATCGTCGGCATTGCCTCTGGCAGCTATGACATGTTAGAAAAATGCTTTCAGGGGTATGCGCATATCCAAGGAACTAAACTTACCAATCAGAGCAGCCTCGTTAACGACGTTGGCAATATCAGCTCCAGAGAAGCCAGGTGTGAGCGTTGCAAGACGACCGACCAGGTACTCCTGGTCCACCTTGGTCACGATCTTCTTTAGGTAAACCTTGAAGATATCCTGACGACCCTTCATTGTGGGTCGGTCAATGAAGATGTGTCGATCGAATCGTCCAGGTCGCATCAAGGCCTTGTCGAGCATATCCGCTCGGTTAGTACCAGCCAGGACGACAACCTGCTCTCGGGTGTTGAAACCGTCCATCTCGGTAAGGATCTGGTTCAGAGTCGCCTCCCGCTCATCGTTGCCACCAAATCCTCGGCCACTCTCCTGTCGTGCCCGACCAATGGCGTCGATCTCATCAATGAAGATGATGCAAGGAGCGTTCTTGCGGCCTTCTGCGAACAGATCTCGCACACGAGAAGGACCAACACCCACAAACATCTCGACGAACTCAGAACCGCTCACACTGAAGAAGGGGACTCCAGACTCGCCAGCCGTGGCCTTAGCGAGCAGTGTCTTACCCGTACCAGGGGGACCAGCCAGAATTGCTCCTCGGGGGATCTTGGCACCGAGCTTCTCGAACTTCTCGGGCTGCTTCAAGAAGCTCACAAACTCCATAATCTCCGTCTTGGCTTCCTCGAGGCCGGCGACGTCGGAGAACTTGACCTTGACAGTGTTCTCGGCGTTAAATTTCTTGGCCTTGCTCTTGCCAAAGTTGAACATGCCACCGGCAGCACCACCACGTCCACCCATTGATCGCTGAGTCCAGAGAATCAAACCGATGAACAGTAGAGTAGGGCCAAAAGCGAGGAGAAGGTTGCCGAAAGTGCCACCGCCAGCCTCGTAGCTGACGGGTATTCTCTCAGAGGGTGGGATGCCGAGCTGGTCTTGAGCCTCCTCCAATTTCCTCTCGAAGGACTCGACAGATCCGATGGAGAAAACATATGTCTTTCTCGCGGGCTGGCCATTCTCACCAGTAGCGCCGGTGGCGGTTGGGTGAAGCTCGACCCGGACTTGGGAGCCGTTAATGACCACAAGCTTCTGAACCAGACCCTTGTCGAGGAAAGCCTTTCGCATCTCCTGCCAGGTGATCTCCTTCTCTGAGAAGGGGTTGGCAAGAAGCTCCGCAATCCAGACAGTGACACCAATGGCAATACCAGTCTGGACAGCCTCAAGCCATCCGCTTCGCTCGTTCTTGGGTGGCTTTCCTCCGGCCTTACCCGCATCTTGCTTGTTACCGGATCCATCCTCCTTAGCGCCAGCCTTGCCGTCGTTCGTCTTAGAATCGTTGTCCATGCGGAACGACGAGAAGGGTCCATCCTGATTCTCCTTGTCCTCAAGCTCGACTATTCGCTCCGTAACCATGTAGACGCAACGCATAAGCCTTCCCTTGTCCAAGATTGAGAGATTGCCGTTGACACGCAGCTTCTCGAGGAGGTCTCGGGTCTCAGCCGGCGCACCAACGATCTGAAGCTTTTCGAGGATATCCTTTGCTACAGGGCGCTGGGCCTCTGGGAGTCTGCCGGTGAATTGTTCGAGGTGGGAGATCTCGTCCTTGCTTAGATGAATCCAGCCTTCTGGCAGAGGCGACGGCTTGGGTGCCTCAGCCTTGCCTCCTTCCGACCCATCCTTGGCGTTCTGTTGATTTAATGGCTTGCTTCCATGCTCTGTGTCATTGTCGGGGTTCGATCGGGGATCTTTTCCGGATGGTGGGGGTTGCGAGGAGTAGGCCCTCGCTCGGATCGCGAAAGCGGCAGATGTCTTTGCGGGGATCGACCTGGTGATAATTGAGGGCCGCGCGCATGCCCGTAGAGCAGGCTGGGATGTGAGCCTCGTCACCCGCGCGAGCTGGCTCGATTGTCGCAGAAATCTCGACATGGCGGGCAATGCGAGCTGTCGCAAGTGCGGAACAACCGGAGTTGTGGATTAGAGGTGGTTGCAAAACGCCGTGCTATCTCATGAGGCAGCACGGCTCAGGCCTAGGGGGGCTGTCGTTGAACTGGTGAACTTGGGTGGGATCGTATATACCGAGAACTCGGGGTTCTGACGCCAATGGATTGGAATATGTTGATGACACCACTGAAGTGGAATCTTCTGGCGATGAGTCCATCCGAGTTGCTAGTCCGAAAATTGGAGGTCGTCACGTGTTCTCGGAAGTCGTCGGGGATCCGCCAAGTGCCGGCTCCGGGGGGCAATAAGCGTCAGCGAGTCGATGCCTGCGAATTACAGATTGCTCATGAGATCGGGCGATTTGGTAATCTATTTGCCGGATATATGAGCTGTTGATCTTTATATCCTGAATTTTTTGCTTCAATTACGACTGCTCTGGACTATCAACTCGTCTCGTGCCATGGTTTCGCATGGAGTTCTCCGGATCTCGAGCAAATTTGTTGCTGAGTAACCTGCTCACTTTGATGTGGCAATCTGCTCAGGATCCATTGTCATGACTTCACGACTCACGCCGGAAACGCCTTCGCAAGGGGATGGTGTGGAATCATGAGCAATGCGGGATTTCCCATGAGTCGAGCTGGGGAGTACTTGCAAGTCTAATTTGGATAGTCTATTGTTTTCCATCTAAACTCTTGATTAGGATTGATCGAATGAGGCCATCTCCTTTTACTGGAACCCGCCGAATATCTCCCTCTGATGTTATAATATCCACAAAAGGGCTCAGTTCCTCCGAGCTCTCTAAATCCGGCCAGTCTCGCCAAATCTCGGCTCGGGAATTCTTGGCGGTCGAATGGGCAAAGTAAAGCTGCAGGACGCGACGGGCCTGATTCTCATCGCCAATTTCCAAAAGCATCACCTTCGGCTTTAAGATGGTCGCAACATCCAAAAGCCGAGAGTAGAAGACATCGGCTGGATCGCACTCCGCCGGGCAAGGGAGGTTGCCGTCAGGAACCAAAGCAAGACGTGGCTCATACTTGCGGACCGATAATCCAAGCTGTCCGCGGCCGTGGTTCCAGACATCGTTTGAGATGTATGGCGGGTTGGAGACAAGAACATCCCAGCGAGTATCTGCAAGCTGTTGCATATCACTATCGCTAAAGACGTCCCCCCTTGCAATTTTGAGGTTTTGCTTCTCATTCGGCTGAGGTAGGTTACCAAGCCTAATATTGCGAGCAATGTTCTCATTTGCAAGCTTCGAGGCTATCGGCGAGATATCCACGCCTGTTACACGCAAATGTGCAACTGAGCGCCAGAGAGACGAGAACAAGCCGAGCGGGATGCAACCAGTTCCCGAGCAGAAATCGATCAAATTAAGACCCCTTCTGCCCTTCTTCCATTCTTTGCCAAGCAACTCGCCCGATTTGATGAGATCTACCAGGTGAAAAGTGTATGCTTCGGTTTCAGGCCTGGGTATCAAGACACCAGGTGCACATTTGATGTCCAGAGAGCCGAAAGGTTGTGAGCCAAGGATGTATTGAAGAGGGACACCACGGCCCCTCTTAAGACACAATTGCTCTAAGTGCCATGCTTTCCGATGCACCCACGTCTCGTCAACATGGCTCTTTATCCATCGCAACTCATTTCGGGCGGATTCTAGATCTCGGCAGGCTGGGAGAAGGCTTGCAAGGTACGGCGAGAGGCGTTTAGCATGCCGTACTAAGGACGGCTGAATTCGCGGCATTGACAAGATATCGCATTGTTGGAAAGATTACCAGAATGGGATAATTAAAGATGCAAAAATCGCTGCATTTGAAATAGAAAAAGAACCGAGTTGCTCATTCAATGCATTGTCAAAAGAGTTCGTCAATGAATCTTTAGATTCAGCACAGGCAGCAAGGACTCTTTTTGTATTCAGCCGATGATTAACCTTTTGCCGCGCTGAGAACCTTCCATGTTGAGCCATTCAGAGATCGCCGCCTTTCATTCATTCAACTTGCTATTGTTGACAACCAACTTCTTTTGCTCGTCAACAATAGCACCAGATTTTGGTAAATTCTTTGCTTCTGTCTTGGATCGATATTTAATCCCACCGTTTACTGTCGTCTTCTTCCTTTCAAACGCATCTTCTCCAACGACTTGAACTCATCAGCACGTTACCGCCAAACACACGCTCTAACACTGGTCCCAAACTACCAAGATGAACGCTCCCGATCGGTAAGCTCAAGTCTTTCTTATTCGTTTGCCGCGTCTTTCTCGGGTTGCTTTCATTCCAAGCTCCAAGGCCTCCCCAGATGCTTCGAGTTTGGGCCCCAGACTACCCCCTGGCGGATCCCCCGATGGATGCTTCGCCATCCGTCCTCTTCAGTTGGCTGTATCACGAATCATCAGGCGAATGACTTAGTCTACTTGAATATCCATTGAGATCTCATGTGCTCCTATCGACTCCAAAAACCACTCTCGTCACATCTTGTCGGTCTTGAAATGGCCAAACAGAAGCGCATTTGACGAGTCGCGTTCAACCTACCAAGTTGAGCACTTCCTTACAAACGCCGTTCAACCATGGACTCGGACTTCTACCAACATCTTGATTGTCCTCAAGGACGCGAGTGCGCCGTTGTTTGGCCAATCATGAATGGTTCTCCCGTCAACATTGTTCTGCCAGTTGCCTCGCAGTGATGACCATCACCTACAAAACACCATCTTCCAACGCGAGCTTCTTCTCGCAGACTCCCATTTCCCCTCACTCGCAATTCCACATTCATCACAGACATCAAATCCCCTTGCCGCAATAATTCTTCATCATGGCTGGCGGCAACCCCAAGCACTTCAACCTTCAGGACAGCCCGTTACGTTATAGCGGCGGTACTTGAGTGGGACACTGGCTAACACACTTGCAGTTTCGAACTCTTCATCCTCGATGACGGGGAGAAGAAGATTGAGGAGAAGGTGTTCTCTGGTAAGAATCCCGGTGACACTCGAATACTCTTCAGCTGCTAACCCATCTCTTAGGCATGTCCAACACCTCCGACTTCGTCCTGAAGAAGGAAGACCACACTCTCGGTAACCTTCTCTCCGAGCACCTCAAGATGCACCCCAACGTCTACATGGCTGGCTACAAGAGTAAGTCACATCCCTATGCCAAGTCGACACCTTGCTGACCCTGATCTAGTTGCCCACCCTAACGTCCCTGAGCTCTTCATTCGTGTCCAGACTGACGGCACCATCACTCCTCGTGATGTGTTCACCTCCGTTTGCGAGAAGCTGATCAATCAGCTCGAGATGCTCCACCAGGAGTTCACTCGCGAGTGGGAGCTCCGTCGCATCACCAACACTGGTGAGCAGGGCAACATGCAGAACGGTCACTGAGTTTTGCAATCATCACGGTCATAATGCAAGACCATCCAAAATGGATAGGGATCATGGACGTCTGGCGTTGGGGGCTGAAGATTACTGCTTTTTAACCCGAGACATGAGTCTCTAATGAAGTCAATATCAAGAGGTTATCCTTGCGAATCGCACAACTCTTTTCTCGTGACATGCCCTCTAGAACGTCAATACCCAGTAATCTCGGCGCAATTTCAGAGAATCTCCCACATGCGGGCTTTTGGATATGTCGAGCCTCGACATGTGTGCATTTTCTATGACTAGCATTCCTTTTCTGATTGCCCTCAAGCCGCGCCCTCTGGTCCCTCGCCTCCAGGGATCAACTAAAGAGTAAGGGTTAGCAAAAGATAGACGAATGAATGAGATGGCATACCATGCAAATGTTGTTACCGTTGAGCAAAATCTTGGGCAGCTTTGTGTGGTTACCGGAGTAGTCACTGATAGGTTAGCATTTGCACGAAGCCTGCAAAGGTCAGAGAGATAGTTCATACAACTCAGTCACATCCTCCAAAACCATGTCTGTCGTCCTTATTAGCACATGCCAATTATCCGTGAAGAGCGCATGTTACTTACTCACATAGTCGTCGAAGCCAAGAAGAGTTCCGCTGAATTCTGTTCGAGTGTGGTTAGTACTGGCTATCGAATAGGGAATGTGTTGTCTTACCCTTATCACCCTTCATGATGACCCATATCCTTGAACCAACACACTTGTCGATAAGCTCTAAATGAATGTCAGAGATGTTGCAGTGAGTGAGCCGGTAGCGGGCTTGCTGGACTACTCACCGAGGGGCAGCAGTTGGGATGCCATGATGATGAGTTGTGTGGTTAAGCTTTTTGTGGTTTGGGGGGCTTTTAGTTATCAACTGCCAAAGAATGGAGAAGCCTATTGGTTCGTTGCTTCTCGGGTACTTTAACAACAATGATTCCGGGTCTTGTTTGGCTCTCTTGGCTGATTTCAGGGCATCAAAGTCGTCACAAAGTGGGATGGATCATGGCGGTGCAAGGGTCGCAGGCGGGCGTACCACGTCTCCACGTGAACTCGCGATGCTGACTCAGCAGACCACTCAGCTATCGCGGCCCATCACCCATTCAGCGCTCACAATGAGCACTTAACGAGGGCATCCACGACGCGGCTGCCTACGAGATCCCACATAGCGCGCATCAGGGTCATGGGCATTTGCCACAATGGCGCTCCGATTTTGGCTCCGATTCGTAAATCACAGGCCTCGATGATATCCTGTTCCAGGCGGGTAGGCATTGCTGGCAATGTACTCAGACCCTACAGAAGGACGCGCCGATTGCTTTACACCAGGTACGTAGTAGGATAGTTCTCTCCTCTACACATGAATAATTGAACCTCACACGATACACAAGATCTCGCTTCGTCATGTCCTCACCACCTAGGAATCGATTATGGGATCCATCAACTGGGATCCGATTTTCGCCCAAAACAGACCGGCAGCCCCGCTATCCCTCCCTGGACATCTCTCGCTTCGTACATACACCAGGCCCAAAGGATGACACAACTCGAAAGCTTCAGCTCGACTCCGAGGAGTTTAGCGATGATGAGGAATTTGAGAAGAATGCAGCCGAATGGTTCGATCAGCAAGACCTACTGGTATCTATTGCACCTGCAGCTGAGGAGTTTCAAGTGATCTCTGACGCGGAGGGCAATCCCATTGACCCAAAACCCGAAGCCGAGGTTGAGGCAGAGGCAGAGGCCATAACGAAGATTCCTCCTCCTATTACTTGTCTAGACTTCAACATTGACCCCGAGAAACATGAGACGGCCCAGAACAGCAAAAAAGGAACCGACGAGTCCTTCTGGTCTTATACCATGTATCAGCGTCCCATGCCTGACGGCGAGCTGCAGAAAGTCAAGGTCCATTATTGCACCAGCAAACACACCATGGAACATGTCTGCAAGACGTACTTTGAAGACGAGAAAGTACTTGGTTTTGACCTGGAATGGATGACATGGGCAAGGAAACCGCACGGCCCACGGGCCAACGTATCCCTCATCCAGCTTGCGAGCCCCAGTCGCATCGGTCTCTTCCACGTTGCTCTCTTCCGAAGCGACGACTATGTCGCTCCTACTTTCAAAAAGATCATGGAAGATGAGAGCGTGACCAAGGTGGGAGTTGCTATCAAGGGAGATTGCACGAGGCTCAAGACACATCTTGGTGTCGAGACCAAGGGCATCTTTGAGCTGTCCCACATGTACAAGCTTGTCAAGTATTCCAAGCTGGGCCAGTACGACCGCATCAACAAGTCCCTGATCTCCCTCGCCATTCAGGCAGAGGAGTTTTTTGGTCTTCCGCTATACAAGGGAGACTCAGTACGGTCGAGCAACTGGATGTCACTCCTATCAGCAAAGCAAGTCACATGTAAGTTGGGCTTAATCAAGTTGAAACCTTTATTCTAACAGTCACTCAAGATTCGGCCTCGGACGCGTATGCCGGTCTGAATCTATTCTACGTTTTGGATCAAGAACGCCAAAAGCTCGACCCGTGCCCCCCACGACCAGAATTTGCCGAAAAGGGCCTCCCGATCAAATTCTTGACGGCTGACGATGTTGATGAGAGCGATGTGATATCGGATCAGGATTCTGAGACCAGCGCTGCAGTGGAAGTGGATTTGATCAATGTCGAAGTGGAAGCTGAGTTGGAAGAGCCCGTTGAAGTTTCGCCGCCCCCTGCGCCGATTCCTGCCAAGCAACCTCAGGCAAGGGACTCGCGCATCATCGCTGCTGAGAAGAAAGCCCAGGAGTGGCGCGCTGCTAGGGAGCAGGCCAACAGGATAATGGCCTCGGCTCTGCGCACCTATTTCCTCTGGTATGACAACGAAGACCTCTCGCCCGAGTCTATAGCAAAGCTTCTCCGCACCCCGCCATTGCAGACCGGCACTGTTGTGTCCTACATCATGGACGCCATTGTTGTAGATCACATGCCGTTCTCAAAGTCAAGGCTGAGGAACGAGGTGTTGGTCCTACTGGCGCCAGACGCAATGCGAAGACGGCCCAAGTACCAGGCTTTGATTGACGAGACTCGGGAGGCAACACAATGAAAGGGAAACTGGTAGTGAATTCGCCGTCCAGTTTCACTACTTGTCACAGGGAAGGCTTGTCGTCTCTTCATATCCTGGAAACCGCTCCTTTAACTACCTCGAACAATTATCGTTCTATCAGACAGAGGATTTTTACATCTCTCCGCCTAGTTGTCATTGGAGCATTATTCTGCAGAACGGGTATTCAGCATCTTAATCAAGTGTGTTGTTTTGGATCGTTTGATGTTGGATAGAAATGATGATTGGCAATGAAACTGGAATGTTGAAATGATGAATACCCTTGATGCATGATCATTATAGAATATATTTACTCAACTCCGTCCTTTTTCTTTTAAATCCTATGAAGACAACAAATCTCTACCCCGATTGATCTGGACCTTCTTGTCTTCACCACCGCTCACGATACCCCAAGTCTTATCCCAAGCCACGCTCAACACCTTGGCTCCGTCGCCAGCTGGGGGAAGCTTCTTGCCCTTGAGCCACTCCCTGCCGATGGTGTAGACAGGCTCACTGACGCTGCCGCCGCCCTCCTCCGAAGTACCCATGCGCACACTTCGCAGATCCCATACACGGCACGTGCTGTCGAAGGAGCCAGAGACAAGCGAGTAGTCGTTCTCGGGTGATGGCGCGAGCGAGACAACCATGTTGACGTGGCCGCGTAGCGTCATGGCCGAGGTGGTTGTGGCGGACTCACGAGGATCGAGGAGTGTAATGTGTCGGGCCGATGAGCCAGCGGCGATCAGCGACGAGCCGGGAAGGGCCGTTGCGCAGAGGAGTGGATGCATCGTGGTAAGTCGGCTGACTTCGCGCTGAGTCGTCAAGTCGATGGTTCGGACGGTGTGATCTTTCGAGGCCGAGTAAGCAACAGTCGAGTCGTTGGGGTGGAAGATGGCCGCGGTAACGGGCTCATCGTGGACGGGGATCATGGCAAGAGGACCACGCTGAGCAGTGTTGGCAGCACCCGCGAGCTTGGCGCGCTTGGTGCTGTGCGCAGACGGAAGGCTCTCGGGATCAGCCTGGGGCGCTGTCCGTTTTGAGGACGACCAGAGACCGACCTTGCCGTCGGACGAGGCTGTGAGGATGCGCTTGGTGGCGCCGTTGACGTCGAGGCTGTTGATATCCTTCTCGTGGCCCCAAAGCTCCATGTTGTACTTGAGAGATCCCGAGAAGCCATCGTCGGATTCGCTGTAGTCCCAGACAATAACCTTGCGATCCAAACCAGCCGAGACGAGCTGCTTCTGCGAAATCCACTTCACGGCGTTGACACGTTGGGTGTGGCCACCAGCCCTGCCTGCTTGAGACACAGCAATTGCGTCTCCAGAAGGGTTCCAAACTCTGACCAGACCATCGTAGGATGCACTCGCGACTCGCTCGGGGACGTCTGCACCGCCAGCCAAGATGCCCGCCCGCGAGGTGATTGACAGAAGGTCCACGCCGCCGACCCAGTCGTCGTGCTCAAAGCTGGCCTCGTAGACGGGGGGCAGCAGACTTCGAACGTACTGCAGAGTCAAGGTGGATTCGGAGGAGAGGCCATTGCTCGCGAGGTACTCCTGGATCGAGGTGCGGAGGAACGTGCCGTTGGCAAGGAAGTCGAGGGGGATGGCCGAGGAGGTGTCGAGCATGGACTCGGAGTTGAGGATACGGGAGAGGCCATATCGCTTGATGTCTGAGCCTCTGTTAGAATTGGGATCATAGTTAGAAGAGTTCAAGATAATGACTTGCCTGCAGGCACGAGCAGTTGCTGCTTAGACTCTGGGAGCGCAATATCCTGCTCAGTGGTGGTGAAGACGACCTTCACCTGCGCAACGTCTCCCATCTTGCGCGATTGTCTCTTTGCCACAAAAAGTTCTATGTGAGTTTAAAAGAAAAAAGACCGGAGGCACGCAGAACGAGAGTGTCCTGCAGGTGGTGAAACTGACTGAGCTTCGGGTATCTCAAGTGTTGGACGAAAAAAAAGTATGTCTCGAGCAAGACGATTGGCAGAGATCGCAAAGAGATCTGGAAAATTTTGGAAATTTTCGCAGCCTTGCACCAGGGTTGCCCCACTGCGGGGATAGCGTGGCGCTGATGTGTCCAATTACGGGCTGGGAATGCACAAGGCTGACGATTATATTCAACCCATAGAGAACTTCAATCGTGCTGTTGTATAAGATGTAGCCAGTAATACAATAAGAGGATAATTCTTTTTGTCATTTGGTGTATTCTGAGTATGCATTAATCCTATTTCCTACTTTTACTGGCAATTGTTGAGTTGTGCAAGACGAGCAATAAGGAGTTCGGTATCATCTTTCATCCCGTCTCAAGAGTTAAGGAACCAGAGCAACTCCTTCAAAACCTTAAGCAATCTATTTTGCGTCATGCCGGTCCTCACTTAAATTTCTTTCATTCAAAATTGGATATTTACCTTGCTGCCAATACGATGTCAGTCATGAAGCATACCGTCAAGTGCTCCAGATGTGACCTAGAATTGAAGATCATCGTCAAGACCTAGGTCAGCCCCGTCATAGGAAATTACACATATGAATCCCTTGCCGAAAGATCGAATTTTTTAAGAGCAAACGTATTTGTTGAGTCATCGGAGAATTTGTTTCAACTTGATAGAAGCTGGGGGGCCAGTTCTGTCGGCTTCATCCGTTATGGGCCTCCGTGGAGATGTTCAAAACATTACCTGCTTGATTGGAAGGGAAAGGATCCATTCCTGATCGTATTTGGGTCCAAATTCTCTAATTTTGGGCGTCAATGTTCAGGGAGACGATGGGGTATCAATGTCTCGACTTCTATGTAACCGCCTCCCAACACCACACGCGCTTCGGTGTAAGCCACGGCCGTCATGAGGCTGTACCTGATTCATGATTATTTGGTTCAGAGGAGCTTTGAAGGAGCCGTTGCTAGGCACAGCTGTCAATATCTTGGTTGGTTGTCATGGCCCGGAGCTTTAGAGAATAGGGCTCCCGCCCCAGATGTCTCAACTGGACTTTGGGGGAGCGAGTTGGCGGGGCAGTCTAGTCGAGGTCGTTCTTGGCGATTCCAGAGTCGCGGGATGTCATATCGGGGGTGGAGATGAGTTATCTAAGGTGAGACCAAGTAACATGAAGTTGAGCTCGTTCGGCATTTGTGGTATGAGCTGGGGATGTGTCAGACCGTCATCCCCAGCTTGGCCGATTTCGGGGTCTCGGCAGAATTGAGGCCGGAGGCGTGTAGACTGCGGGAACTATGGCTGAATAGCGCTACCGGCATTTCATTTCTGGCTAAAGAGTACGGCCCGAGTTGGTGTTGCTTGGGTTGAAGCGCTTTAAAGATCGGGATGCTCACTAATAAGACCGAACGCGGAGGGGGGCACAGCCGAAGGATTTGATGCCATTGGTGGGAGTGGACTGGAGAGACAGGCTTCCAAGGTTGACTATGAATACGAGATGCCATGATTGGACTGAGCATCAAGTTCCTCCCGAGTCCTCAGTCGAGATTGAGTATCAGGCCGCAAGACGATGGAGTCAGAGCTGAGGGCCGGGGGGACAAAAAGGAAGCAAATGGTTCGTCGATCACTGGCATTCCCCCGCATTCCATGACCTCATCCCGGCACCCCAAAGATGTGTACTACTGCGAGTCGACCTGCGTGTAACCAAACAAAGATGGAGGTTTTTTGAGGGGTACTCGGTCTTAACAGAACTTTGTAACTGGTCTTTTCTGTTTCTGTCATAGCATCGGCGTCTTTTTCAGAGTGCGGGCAGAATACCGTTGAGAATAACGTCGAGGCGTAAACTGTAATCAGTGGGCAGGTCAGGCGGGCTCTCTCTCAGGGGAGAGAGAAGAGGGAGAATTCAGGCTCCTCAACAAGAAGGAGAGTCTCGAGCTTATTACGGCGTAGGATTCAGATATGGGGAATGGCTATGAAACATTTGAGCATGGGCCGGCCTCGGCTTTGTACTGAGTGAGTGAGAGTAAAAGTCGGCGTAGGCGAGAGTGGGATGGACTTGTGGCGTATTCAGAGGCCCCTTTTCTGCGCGGTTAATCTTGATTGAGTTTGGTAGAATGGGAAGGACCGTGAGAAAGAAGATGGATCAGTTGGATAGAGAAGAGTATAGCAAATGGCGAGTAATAGTATCAGGTCATCTCTGAGAAGGCTTTTTTGGTTGAGGATCTAACAATGCCCCTCGCCAAAAAGAGGTCGGGAGCTTGGACTCGTTTTGGGGCGTGGGCCGGGTCCTTTCAGAACCTCGAACGGCTGTGGCGATGATGGAATCCAATCCAATTGTACCTTGGCTTGTTTAGGCGCCGTTTGCTGGTTGCTCCGGGGCCAAGGTCCCAGGTCCCCACCCAAGCTCAGGTCGCTAGCGTGCCGGCCCACTGAAGTCGAGTGTACCGTGGCGGCATCACCACCGAGTCCCAGCGCTGTTGACGGGTGCTACAGCGGCCGCGAGGTACCTCTCGAGTACATACATCATCCAGCTCATCTCTCTCCATCATCTAACCCAAGCTTCCTCTCTTCCCCCCTCTCGCCCTGCTTCTCCTCCTTTCATCTCCTCCCTCCCTTGCCCTGTTCAGCTGTGTTGTTGTTTGCAAGAAAAACACGGGCAAAAACAAGCCGCCACCTCAAATACGCGCTGTACACTACTGTACTTCGGGTCCTGTCCGTCCGTCCACTCTCTCCCTGCTGCAAAACCCTGCTCACCTGTACTGCACCGTCGCCCGCAGATCCCCTTCGTTCTCCATCAGCGGCACAGTGACGCAACCTCAACACCACTACCATCTCGATTCGATCACCTCGCCTTCGCACCCCCCGAGCGCCCCCAGCCACGCTTCGCTACTCCCGAAAATTCTTTCAATTGAGTTCGCGGGCCATCGATACAGCTTCATCTTCATCACCTATAGCTGTTTTCTCTGCCCTCCAGCTTGCCCCCCTCTGGATACTCCCTTGAGAAGCTCCCTGCTAGGTAGCTCCGCTCTGTCTCGACGCGACCACCCTGGTCGACTGTATCAGATCATCATCCCCTCAAACTCGA